TCAGGTCTTTTTTCTGACTCCCTCCTGGCATTGGTTACCTGAACCCGCAGCAAGCGGTGGTCTTTTGTTTTTCCTTTAAAGAAAAAAGTGGTGCACATTTATTAAACAAAATTGGGGAAAAGAAACACTAAGGTAGAACAAATAACAAAATCATCCATAATTCTACTGTCAAAGCAACCTGTGTTAATATTTTTAAATTCATCTCACATATTAACAGATTTTTTTTTTTTTTACAAATTAGCAAATTATCCCTATTTTGTATTCTAGTTTTTTGTTGTTGTTGTTGTTGTTTTTTAATGAGAGACAGGCTCTTACTGTGTTGCCCAGGCTAAACTCGAACTCTTGGTGTCCAACGATCATCCCGCCTCAGCCTCCTGAGTAGCTGGGACTACAGGTGTGTGCCACCATGCCTGGCGTCTTCCACTTTTTAAAAAAGTTTCCATTTACTTCTGCCTCCACTCACATCAAGTTAGTTTTTGTTGTCCAGCATCCCTGAATATTAAGGAACATTAATCTAAGTTTGCCTTAATCATAATTAGTTTTTGTAGCTTTAATGTGGATTCACCATTGTGATTCTTTTGTTATTTTTAAAGAGTGTGTTTCCTCTTTTTCTCCTCTTTTTTTCTTCTCGGGTCAGTTTTTATTTAATGCACTTAACAAGAGAGCTGTTGTTTACTTTTATGATGATTCTTTATTTCAGTTCCAAACATGCAAACTCCTTAACATTGCATACAGATTCTATTATCTTAAATTTGTTTTCTGTAAGCTCTTTCACTCCTATAGTTTTACCTCTCACGTATATGCTAATGATTCCGAAACTATCCTCCAGCCAGTGACTGTTTCATGAGGTCTATCTGGATTTTCAAATGCCTGGATCGGTTCTTCTCTAAGTTGACTGAGGATAGGAGTCACTTGGGGACCTTGTTAAAAATGCAGATTTGGATCCAGCAAATCTGGGGTAGGGTCTGAGATTCTGTCTTTCTGACAAGCTTAATGGCTGACGCTGCCTGTCCATGGAACACGCTGTGGCAGTGGCCTCCAATGTGTCTCAATCCAGCAGGTGCAAACTGAAGGCGTCACCTTCACTGTTACACTGGCTTTTTGTCTTTCTTCCCTTTCCAATTAATGACTTTACCATCTATCCTCCTGTCCAAGAACAAACTTTGACATCATCATTGTTTCCTCAGTTTCCTTCATCTGCTTTATCTAATTGGTCACCGGGACATTTTGAATCCATTCAGGAAAAGATTCTTGAGTTGGTCCTTTCACTTCTGTTTCTACCAGTGCCCTCTGGATGCAGATCCTAATCATCTCTCAGGGATCTGCTTAGCCCTGGGCATCTTGGCCTCGGGCCATCTCAGAATTTATGCTTCTCAGAGTTATCTTTCTCAAACCCAAATTTGATGGTGATAGTGACATTTGCCAGTTTAAAAACTTTTCCACTGTTGCACTGCCTACATTCCAAGTTTCTCAATTTTGACAAGCAATATCCTGCAGCGTTTGGCTCCTAGCCTTATTTCCGCAGAATCTCCCCCTCTCCCCAAGGCTTGTACCTTCATGGCAATAAGCGCAGTCTGTCTCCATCACTCCATGCATAGTTCTCAGACTTGCTGTCCGGCACCTCTGTCTTGGCGCAAATGGTTGCCACTGCCTTGAATGCCTTCCCGATCACATTCTACCTAGCGGACCCTTACTCAGCTTTCAAGATCCAGCTCATATGATTTCTGAGAAGCCTTAAACAAGTAGATCTGTGACTTCCCTAATCTCTGCTTCCATAGCAGTTACCACTTAGAATACTGTGTTGGAGTTGCCACTTGTTCTTTGTGACCTTCTAAATTCTAGGCCTGTCTTGCCTGAACTACATCTGAGTTCCATACTTTAGCATGGTATGGAGTAAAGTAGGTTTAAACTAAACATTTGCTGAGTCAATGATAAAACAAATATTCTATAGATAAGTAGCCATTAGCTTTCATGTGTTAGCAGTAAGAAGGAATTCTATCAGTTGTATGTAGCGGGCTGGGCAAGGAGAGCTCGGTGACTGCCTCATTCCATTCTGTAGCTGCCTTGTGGATACGGTGGCCACCAGCTGCTGTGGCCATTGAGCACTTGAAATTTGTCTGCTCCCAATGGAAGTGTGACGGCAGTGTAAAGTACACATGGGATTTGAAGACTTAGAATTTTAAAAAAGGATTTCATTAATAATTTTTTTATTGATTACATGTTGCAATGATAATAATTCGGGTATATTGGGTGGGTTAAAGTGTATTATTAACATGAATTTTTACCTGTTTCTTTTTCACTTTTTAAAAAATTAGGCCAGGCGTGGTGGCTCACACCTGTAATCCTAGCCCTTTGTTTGGGAGGCCGAGGCCGGAGGATTGCTCAAGGTCAGGAGTTTGAAACCAGCCTGAGCAAGAGTGAGATGCTGTCTCTACTAAAAACCGAAAGAAATTAATTGGCCAACTAAAAATATATAGAAACAATTAGACGGGCATGGTGGCACATGCCTGTAGTCCCAGCTACTCAGAGGCTGAGGCAGAAAGAAGGATTGCTTAAGCCTGGGAGTTTGAGGTTGCTGTGAGCTAGGCTGATGCCACGGCACTCTACCCCAGGCAAGAGTGAGACTCTGTCTCAAAAAAATAAAAAAATAAAAAGATTTGCAATCTGCATCCTCACCCCTGCTGGCCGCATAGTTTCTCACTACTTTTGCTGATTCAAAATCATATACATTGCATGCCATGATTAATCAGTTTTTCTGCTTGATCAGATTTTCAATGTTTAAAGTTTAAGGAGTCTACCACTTTAAAAGCTTTTTTATTTTTTTTTAACTTAAGGTTCCTAAGGCAGTTGCTTTTTAAATTTTCTGTAATCATAGAATTCTTTTCCAGTACATCTTTAAACGGATCTCTAAATAAAACAAAACTGCTATGTTTGAGGGGTAAGTGGAGACCCAGAGAGGGCCTTCCCTACCAGCTCCAAGCAAAGCGGCAGGCCAAATTAAGGCTTTATAGGTGAAAAACCAGTGTTAACATATTAGAGTTATATACTTTTTAGAATTGGAAGAGACCTGAGGTATTGTCCTTGCTTTTGTAGGGTAAATGTATCTGTCATGATCCTGCAGTGAACAATAGAGCTGGAGATAGACCAAGTTCTTCTGTTTCCCAGTAGAATCTTATTTCCCACACAATACTGTGATAACAGCGTAAGAAATACTTTTTTCTTGGAACATTAGTATTGGCTAAGAATGATGACAACACTTCAGGTATGAGTAAAAACTTACTGGAGAGGAGATGAGAGGAGCATATCCTATGATTCATGGAGCAATAGCCCAAAGTGAGGATTAGGTGAATGCTTTAGGAGGTAGCTAATAAATGTCAGTCTCTCTTCTCTTGTGCATACTCCATCGCTTATTGCAATTCACTGATTAGGGTTTAAAATGGCATAATGAATTATGCAAAAACTGTTTCTGCAGGAGAGGCTGTCTTGCAGCCTAATGCAGCACAGATGGAAAGATCCTCTTTTAATCATTGTTCTCACAATACTTGGAAGCTTTTTGAGGAATAAGCACTCAGAAGTGGAAGTGAATGGCCTTCAACAGTAAATGAATTCCTTCTGCAGAGAGGAACTGAAATGTATTTGTGATGCAGATGGTTGCCCTATGTTTGAATGCTCATCCTTGTCATTTGAGATTCAAGCTTACAAGCAAAATGTCTCTTGAAATACTTGGGTTTAGATGGTTCCACTGGAGAAATTACTTCTGTCCAGGCTGGCCCAACACATATTATTTTTGAAAATGGTGACAATGAGTGTTTAAATGCCATTTCACTCCAATTAAGAAAACATGCAAATTACCTCTTTCTCTGATTCACAGTTACTACTGAAGAGACTGAATTAGTTACCAGCCCCTTACTTTTATTAGCATAATATTAATGCAAATGATCAGCAAAGGCTTTTTTTAAAAAGAAAGAACCACGGAAAGCAATTAATAACAGTGCTAATTTCCTCGGTTAGGAAGAAAAAACATTTATGATTAGGGTTCTAATTTTGGTGTCTATGCCAAGGACCTCCGACTGGGGCCTAAACAGGTACCTGTTTCTAAAATCAGTGTCAGTTTGGAGCTTTCACTTGTTGAGCAAGAGCTAATCTAAAAAGGGCCCAAAGGAAAAATTTCAGAACAGAGATGATATGCTATTGCCTGTAGGTATCTTCATGATTTGGATGCCAGTAAGAGTGTGGTTGTCTACAGGTTGTCTTTCTAAGATGCTGCTTTTTCAAATATAGGAGGAAAAAGTAAAGGGGTAATATTCATTGGCCAACTCAAGGTACAGTAAAGGACCGATGTAAAACTATTCCCAGCAAAGGAGTTACAGTAAAGAGGACACTGATGAATTCTTTCTTTGCTCAGAGGAAATGGGCTTAAATTAGAGGGAAGTAAAATTGAATCAAACAACAGGAAAACATTGTTGGCTCTAGGGAGAGCTTTATAAAATTAGAATGAGGCATAGGAAGAGGCAGGGATTGTTCTTCTTACCTCCCCTTACTGTGCTACCAACATTTTTCACACTTTCTGGCATCTTGTCCTTGCCTGTATATGTGTAACCGGAAGTGAGCACTGCAACACCTGTCACACTCCTGTAGCACGAAGCCAGCATTGTTCTTGTCGTGCATGACGTGCTTTTTAACCTCCTGCATCAGAATGTAGGCTCAGGGATCAGAGGTGAAGCCCTGTGCTTCTTTGGACTTTGGAAGTCAGCATGTATAATAGCATGCAATTAATGGGGGGGGGGTGTATTTGTTGAATGAATGTATGAAGCACAACTTAGCGATCTGTTTATTATTAACAAGCAAGAGTCCAAATTCTATAGTATCACTCTGCCAAAACATTGAAATGTTGACTTCATTCCAATTCCACTGTTTTTTGGTTTTTTTTTTTTGGTATCTTCTGTATTACTTGAAGTAGAAAATATACATTATGTAGATTAGTTTCATTTTTAAAACATAACTACAGTGATTTTTAAAATAAAACCTAAATACAGAATTCTGTCTACTATCTGTTTCAAAGGAAGACTAATGAATAAATGTAGGCATTGTAGTTCAGTGAATCTTTCTATGCATAAAGCTATTGGATTAAGAAATTAACACATCGATATCAGATTGGTTGGCATATGAAAGTCTGCTTAGAGTTTTATAATATTTGTCTTCTAAAAGCTGTGCATTTTACTTTGTAGAACTGACTTTAGGAAATAACTAAAGTCATTTATAAGGTGGGAAGCTTTCACAGTTGGCCTTTAAACACCTGACTTTGGGGGGAGAAAAAAAGAAAAAGAACAGGAAAAAGTTCTGAGTCTTAGATCTTTACCTTAGAGTATGTGTTAACTTAGATCTTTCTGTAGACTTATCCTGGCAAAATAGCAAAGGAAGTTCTATCTTTGATTCAATCATCTAAGCTGGTTTCCATGCTTGTCACACCCACTGCGTAAATACTGACTTCTGTCCTGGTGGGTATGACATGCTCTTAATCCTTTGATCCTCCCCTTTTAGAATGTACTCAGACCATTCTGGTCTCTAGAGGCTCTGATCTCTATTCAGCAGCTCATTAACTAATCTTTTCTGAAGTGATGGCTTTCGGAGATGACAAGTCTTTCTTCCACCTCTCTTTCCCAATAAGCAGGGAACATGGGTACCATGGCCTGGCTGAAATGCCAGGTCCTGGGAAGCTTGGCCAGTGCAGAATTCAGAGCTCAGGAAGATGATCTAGCAAGCAACATTTTGGGGAGAAATAAACATCAATGAACCTGGATTATTTCTTTACAAGGACTAGGCAGAGAGGAGAATCCAGGTGTGGAGCAATGGGAAAAGCAGAGAAAAACCTGAGGGATGGAAATGGAAGACTAGAGGTGGAAGTCCTTGAGTGGGCCATTGATTCAACATCAGGTTTTTATAGAGCGCCAACTGTGGCTAGGGAGAGAACTCTTAAGGGCGAAAACTACTTGCGCACTTCTTAACCTGCTTCAGGTCCCCATACGGAATGGCGTTTTAGCACCATTTGCCATATTGCTGTTGGTTAAGAGGAAATTTTGCTGCCCAAGGTAAAACAAGAGGTAAGCAGTAGGCTAGTGGAAGCCTGGTGATGAGCTGGAGACTGGGTGGGGAGGGGGTAGAGTGTTTCCTAAGAGGACCAGGACAGGAATTAAGCTAAGACAGGTTCATAAACTTCCAATTTGGAGAGGTTAATCCTCCTTGAATTTGATGTGTCTGTGAGTGGCATTTGTCAGAACTGAGTGTGCCCATATTGTGCTGGATAACGTAGTGTAATGCCCAAGAATAGCATTAATTTCATTAGTTATATTTCCTCATTACAATTTTTTTCTCTACCATCTGCATTTCCTCCTCTTACCCCTTGCAGGTTCCCACAATCACCTCTTGTAAAACCCTTTGCCCACCCCTCGTGGTCTCTTTTGTTCTCACAACCATGGGAACCCTGTTCCTGTCCTCCAAACAGAGCTTGGCGGCTTTTACTGAAAACACTTGATTTTTTGTTTTTGTGAGATTTTTTTGTTTTGTTTTTTTCCCTTCAAATGTTAAGGTTAAAGTCCCCACCCCCACCCCAAACAGTGTTTTGTAATTAGAAATTGCCTTTAGTTTCCCATGCTCTTGTTTTATATCTCATGTATCTTTTAGGCTACTTGAACTCACACCTGTCTTGCGTTGGGTCAGCTCAGAGTCTCAAATAGACTAAGAAAAAAGTGGCCTTAGATAATGTCATTTAAAAAAGGAAAAATTGTCTTACGATATTCACATATTCTACCTTGTGACTGGCTGCTGAAGACATTTAGTAGAAAACATTATGGGTGAATTGTGTCAAGGCTTGACTAAATTACTTGATTAGCTGGAAGTTATTTCTCCACCCCCTCTGTCTCCCTAGGAAAGGTGACTTTTAGCAAGCACCTGGCTTATGAAAATATTTCCTGGCTTTCTATACTTATCGGTAGAGCATTAGAATGTTTGCAGGTCATTTGAAGTTACCCGTAAAATTATACTTTGCAGCCTAAAGGAAACTGCTTTCTTTTTTAATTGTCCTACTGTTAGTATTCCCTGGCATTACTTTATAAATATCTTCTGCCTTTTTATTTTCCCACATAAATACAGATATTATTTCACTTGTAACATTTTCTTCCAGTGTTTGTCTGTGGCCTCTCTTTTGCTGGCTGGTGGAAGGTTGGATTTACACCCCTACAACCCCACTGAGATATAAGATGATTTCTCTACCTTATTGCAGTAGATAATCAGAAAGAACCAAGAAGAGTTGAATAATAATGCCCATGCTACTTCTACAATAGTTTCCATGTATTTAGCTCTAGTTATTATCAAAAGGTTTTTTTAAAGTCCAGTTTTGCCTTGTGTCCATATTTTTATTAGCATAGAAAAGTTGATGTTAAGATATATATATATAAAAGTCCTACTAGAGGGCAAGAGATTTGCCATAGGAAATAAGCAAAACTGATATTCAGTACTATTATATTTAGCACTATTCTAACATTAAATTTAAAAATATTGTTAATCATTTTATGTTGTGTGCACAGATATTTGTTAGTGCTTATATCATGGCCGGCATTATGAATCAATAGCAACATTTTTTTTATGAATGAAAGGAATCAGAATATTATGATTTTTAAATCTGTAGTCAGGCAGCACCCAAAATAAAATTCCTGGCTGACATTTAAATACTTTTCCTGGATCTCAGATCTTGAAGTATATTGTTCAGTCTTGTATAAAAGAGAATTTGCATCTTGGTGCAAATTTGTCTCTTTGTGTTAATCCATATTTAAGGCATATTGGTAAATTATAATAATGAGATTCTGAATTAATAAAAATTATGATGAGGGCTTTTGAGTGACAAGTTCACAAATGTGAGGGGAGGTGGAAAGACCTTTGGTCTTCATTAGTGAGTCTTTCTTCTTTTCACCTCTGAAAATGTGTGGAGAATTTGCTAGATTCCTCAGAAGGAAAGCAGGAGCACTGCTTTGAAACCAAAAAGGCAAAAAATTTGATTTGCCAAGAGCAATAGAAATACATGGATAAAAGGTTGACAAAATTTGGGGATGGTAATAACTACCTTTGAAGCCATCAGTTGTGAGGAAGTTGGGCTCCCTCAGAGGAAGAACAGCCTTAATAATGGACCAGAGAGTAGGCCTCAGGCAAGCCCAGGAGGACTGTGAGAAATAGAGCAAGGGGGAGGGAGGGATTCCTTGAAGGGCATTTTAGACTGTTTGTGCTGCTGTAACAAAGTAACCATAAACTGAGCGGCTTATAAACAATGTAAATCTATTTCTCACAGTTCTGGATGCTGGGAAGTCCAAAATGAAGGCGCTGGCAGTTTTGGTGTCTGGTGAGGGTCCACTTTCTCATAGATGGTGCCTTCTTGCTGTGGCCTCACATGTTGGAAGAGGCGAGGCAGCTCTGTGGGGCATCCTTTATAAGGGCACGAATCCCCTCCCCAAAGGCCTCACTCGCTAGTACTATTACTTTGAAAGTTAGGATTTCAACTTACGAATTTTGGAGGGACACAAGCACTCGGACTATAGCAAGGGGCTATGGAGGTAACCTCAATAGTGTTCTCAATCTAGGAAAATGATCGCGTAGGGGCTGAGTTGAGCGTGAGTGGATAGCAGTGGCAGTGACAGCCAGAGAGGAAGTGAAATTCTTCCTGGGGAGGGAGCGGTGAGCCACAACAGCTGGGCCTGACATTAGGGACCATGCTAACGCAGAGGTCGTGACCCCAAGACCCGTATTGGAGCGTTGTCTGGTCCACTAGTTCAGTGAGAGTGAAGAACTGGAAAATTCCACTCATAACTGGTATTGGTGTCTTTTATCATCTACCTCACACTCAGGGTTTGAAGGGCTTAGTTGAACAGATATCTCTGATAAGGTACCCAGCATAGAGTAAGGCAGTCAATAAATATTTGTTTGTTTTAGAGATTGAGGTGACAGAATGGAACTGTGGAATGTGTGCCTAATAAACTGTTAGCCAAAGCTTGTTTGTAATTTAATATTAGGTACAATCTGATATGAAATCGGCCCTTCCTTTTGTATGTTTCCCCACCCTTTAGGAAACCTGCTTTTAGAATCAACATCCAAAGTAGAGTCCCAGAGACATAGAAAAATTACCTTGTTAATATTAGGGTTCTCTGATAACTGATTTCTTTACTGCTTGCTTTTCATGTCTCTATCTTATTTCTTTGTAGTTTTGTGCCATTAAATAAAAAACACCTTAGAAATTAAGAGGTGGTTATTTTGGAGGCAGCAATAATTCCATAATTAACGATTGAACAGTTCACAAACATCTGTTACAGCAAGCCTTTTGCTTGAACCCAGGGATGCCAAGATGGAAAAAAAAGCAACATGGATTGTTGCCCCAAGGAATGGTGGAGACACAAGCGTGGGCAGATCATCACAGTACAGGATGTGGTCAGGGCTGTGGGGAGGCTGTAGAAGCGAGGTTATTCCAATCCCCACAGAGAAAGGTACCGAGATACGAAATTGAGTAATGACAGCTGGAAGACAGTTCAAACTGGACAGCCGGCGCTCAGAATGCAAAGTAGCTACTGGTGTTTAATTTCCAGGTGGCTCTACAGCTGGCCAAAGCAAGAGCAAGGTAGGGTCCTGGAGAAAGAACAGCAGGTCCAGGGTGTCACGTGAATACAAGCCATGGAGACAGGTGATTGAATGAAGTGGATATGCCAACTCAGTTTGCTGTGCTTTGACATAAAACCTGAGGATCCTGGAATGTTGGTTCAAAGTTCCACTACAGATACTGTCCTTCTGCTCTTGAAAGATGATCTCGACATTAGGATCACGGGTGGTTCCCTTTTGGCTACTTGTGGAGGCGTGCCTTCAACTGAGGAGGGAGAACTATCTCTTGAGAGAGATGTGGCAAGATCAGAAACAAAGCGGATCTCACTTCTACCCAGAAGCAGAGCTCTAAAACGAGAAAGGCCTACATCTGGTGGCCAGTGATGGCCTCCAGCTGTCGCTTTTATGTTCCCTGTGTCTGGACCTCAGACAGAAGTGAGTTTTGGTAACTTGCCTTGGCTGCCTCCTGTGACCACATTGCTTGCTGTCTTTCCTTCCCTTTTTTCTACCAGACCTGGTGGTGGTTGCTGCCCATGTCTCTATTCTTCTAGTGATGTCAAGGATGTGTAGTGAAAGCAGCAAAAAATAAGAAACAGACAACACATAAATTGGTTTTGTCATCTTCCTGTAAATTGACAAAGCCAAGTTTTCAAAGCTAGGTCTCAACAGTGTCACCCATGGGCCTCTCTGCTCAGTTTTGCTTAGGTCGTGTTGCGTTACTAGAGGATAATCAGTTTGTTTGCTCATTGTTTTTCTGTGTATCAAAATTAGGTGGAAACAAAACAAAAAGTGGGTGGATGCTCTCTGAAAAATTGCAAAGCACTATACAAGATGCAAGGTGTACAGTGAATTGTATTTTTAAAGAAAAAGAAAACTGAAAGAAGTGAATGAATTTTTTCCCCCCAAAATGAAAAGGCAAGATAGGAAAAGAGTAAAAGAAGTAAGTTTATATAAAATGTGCAAATGAATGAGTGCATCCTTAAAACAGTAGCAACTGGGTTGGGTAGAAGAGATTAGGGATACTTCCCATGGGTTCTGAGGGCTGCATGGGTGTGGGGTGGGGCTAGGAGGAATTGCTTTCTAATCAACTTCGCACTGCCTTTAGGCATTGTGAAGTGTGCTTTCTTCCTGAATGTCAGAGCCACTTCTAATAATTACTGCTTTCAGCTAAACAATAGTAGGCATTCACTTCCAAAGGGAAAAAAATATGGCTTGGGCCATTCATAGGCTGCAACTCTTCATAGTCATTCAAATTGAGCGTATTCTGATGGACAGGGCCAGTACACAGTATTAATAGCTTTAGCATCTCACCATGGTAGTGATTACGGTACTTCTTTAATATTGTTGCTGAAACGAAAGAGAAAAATCTACACATCAGAAACACATTTTTTTCCTCCAACATAGAGATTATGTAGATGAGGAAGCAGAGTAAATTTTTAAAACATTTAAAAAATACTAAATTTTGACAAAACAATTTTTTATTTAAAAAAAAAAAAACCAGGTTATGTTTGAAGTCATGCCCTAACATGACACAAAGCATATTTGAGAAAGTGGATTGGAAAAGGTTTCTTAAGCCTTTTCAAAAGGTATGGTTTGATTTTCAAATGTATTTTTTTCTTTGTTAAGTGTAAGGGTCATTAGAAAATGCTAATTATAGACTGGGTCAACAAGATCACTTTTGGCTTGGCTATATGCAATACATCTTCAGAAAGATTGAAGCATCTGATGAGAAAAAGCGTAGATTCTATCCTTTTCAGTCAGTCTATTTGGTATAACAAACTGACCACTGAAGAAGAAATGAGAGTGTTAATCTTAGTTCTACCATCGCTTTGTGGGATGACTTTGGGGAAGTCTTAACCTTGGAACCTTCTTACTGTCAGGTTTCAGTCTGAAATGTGGGTTCTTGGCATGCTCATGGCCGAAGGATGACCAGACATGCCAAAATTAGGCAAGCACGAGGTGAAGTTTATTGAGGGGGTGCAAGATAGGTTATAGGGAAGAGCAAGATACAGGGTGCAAGATAGGTTATAGGGAAGAGCAAGATACAGGTTTACAGAGCATGGTATATACACCAGAGATGACAACCAGACACCTTATCACAGCAGGGTAGGGCAGGGAAAAGGAAGGGCAAAGAGAGAGAGAGAGAGGTTGGCTATGGTCTGTGTCTTATTTTATAGTGCTTGGATAGGGACCTCCATCGTGGTTCAGAGGTCACCATGGAACCACTTTGATTGGACAGTTGGGAGTCACATGAACTGAGTCTCAACCACACATGCAGGTTGTTCTAGGATAACTTCTGGACTCTATGGTACCTATGCTGCTTGGCCTGTGGGCTAGAGAGTCCTCTGTATTCTTTTGCAGCTGGTATGCCAAGTTCTGATTGGCAGATTCGTAGGGTGTTCCCTCCTCCTCCAGGTCTGGAGAATTAGGGTGGGGTGGGACCAAGATGGGGGCAACAGCACCCACTTTCATCCCTAGAAGACCTGGAATCACTATCTACCTGACATCACCTTGTTTAGAAATGACAGGATAGGTTTAAATCTCTAAGGTCCAATACCATTCTAATTCTTACACTTGAATAAATATATGACTTTTTCTAAAATATACTTTGTCATGATGGCTGATAGGTCATGATCTAAGAAATCCCCACTCCCCTTTTTTTTACACATTAAAAACAGAACAAAAACAAAGTAAAAATAAACTTTATTCTTCTATCTTGTACTGTATATCACAATCCAGTCACTTCTTGTCCTGCATTAAAATCAAGGTAAGATAAGGAACATGAAAGAAAGCGTAGCATTTTATGAAAGGATCTTGTAAGAAAATAAACAGGTTGTAGGATCAGAGGACTTTAGGAAAGCAGACTTTGGCCCACAAAAATGCTTCTGAAGGGTCAAAAGACTAACTGGATATAAAGCATCACAGTGGGACCCTTGACAGGGTAGGGAACAAAAAGAAGGAAGCAGACTAGAGAAACACCCTATTTACAAATAAATCTGCCTTGAGGGGGTGTTAGGAAGAGGGCAGGGATGCCAAAGGAGCATTAAGGGAAATACACACGTCCAAATACGCTGGCCAAAAGGGGAAGCCTAGAGAGAACTTCTGCCCCTTATTCATGATAGACACAAGTAAATGATTAAAGGTACTGGCAAGGCAGGGGTTTTTAGGTGACGTTTTTATTCTTTGTCATTATATATAAATTAAATATGGATATGTCATTGGAATAGGTCCCAGTTTTTATGAAAGGCTGCAAAATGAAAATAAACAGAGAAGTAGGTCAAGAGTCACTAGGAAAGCATGTCTGTTTCTTTCAGTAGTGCTTTCTGAAGCATTGTCCCTGGAATTGAAAAGTGCATTTTCAGATCCATTAGGTATTGTGATTGAGAAATCGTAGAGCAGCAGTTTTCAAAGTCAGGTCTGGGAACACCTGAGGGTCTCAAGACCCTTTCGGGTTCCAGGAGATCAAAACTGTTTTCATAATAACACTGAGATGTTTTTCACACTCATTCTCTCATGAGAATACAGTGGAGTTTCCCGGAGACTACATAAACTGCAGTACTGTAAAAGATTGAATGCAGAAGCAGATGCAGGAAGCCAGATGTCTTCCATTAAGCTGGATATTAAAGGCAGTTTCAAAAGTTTAAAACAATGTTACTCATCTCACTATTTTTTTTCTAATTTAGAAAATAGCTTTTTTCTTTAAAGTGTTATTTAGGTTAAAATGTTTATTTTTCTGATTAAATGAATAGTAGTTAAAATATTTTTTGATTGTAATAGCTAATATTGTAAATATCAATAGATATCACCTATATAAGCAAAATCTCTTTGGTTTGTGTAGAGGGTGACCTTGAAATATTTTAAATTATGTAAAGGAGTCCTGAGGCCAAAGAGGTTGAGAGCTGTCCTGGAGGATAAATGATTCTTCTGGACCTAATTAAACTATGGGAGGGGCAGCTATATAGTTAGCAGTACAATACATGTGTCACCAAAGCTACTTGCTGCAGTGCCCTTTTCTTTGTTACTAATACCTATGAGGCACTTCAGTAGGAATACTCACCACAAAGCAAGCAAGCAAAGTTACTGTTATTCTTCCCATTTTACAGATAGGAAAAGTGAGGAGTAGAGAAGTTAGTGACTTCCAAAGATAGTTTAGTAGAGCTGGAATCATTTGGCACTTATGACTCCCAGTTCCATGTGTTTCCGTTCCATTTCGCTGACTTTGCTGACTGCGTTGATACTAGAACGTATCGTCAGTCAGCTTGCAATCTTGTAGTTCTGCGGTCTCCAACCCCTGGGCTATGGACTGGTACCTGTCCGTGGCCTGTTAGGAACTGGAACCAGGCCACTCAGCGGGAGTGAATGGTGGGTGAGCTAGGGAAGCTTCATCTGTATTCACCACAGCGGCTCCCCATCACTCACGTCACTGCATAAGCTCCGCCTCCTGTCAGATCAGCAGCAGCATTAGATTCTCATAGGAGCATGAACCCTGCTGCAAACTGCACTTGTGAGGGATCTAGGTTGTGTGCTCCTATGAGAATCTAGTGTCTGGTGATCTGAGGTGGAGCTGAGGCGGTGATACTAGCACTGGGGAGCGTCTGCAAATACAGATCATCATTAGCAGAGAAGTTGACTGCACAATAAATGTAACTCGCTTGAACCGCCCTGAAACCATCCTCCTCCCCACCCCTGCTCCTGGTCTATGGAAAAATTTTCTTCCATGAAACTGGTCCCTGGTGCCAGAAAGATTGGGTACTGCTGTTCTAGTTGACCTCAGTATAATGAATGGCAACCCCCACCTCCTCGTGAAGAACAAAATGTGTCAGACAAGTTTAATATTCTCTATGACAAAATAAATAACAGGCATTCCTATACCCTCAGTGATATCAATACCTTTGAAATTCACTGACCAGGTGGAAAAAGTATCACAGAAAAATGGGATAGCATATACTAAGGGAAAATACAAAAAAACAAAGCCCTAATTTTTATAAATACAGCATGGAAGACCTGCTAGCAAAGATGAAAAAGAAGAAATATTCCGGGAAAGCCCATAAGGGTCTGTAAAGTGAGTATTTGCTAGTGATAGTGTCCATGAAGAAAAGGCAAAATGGTAATACTCTGGTGTGTTGGAAAGAGCAATCACTTCCAAGCTTCCGTACAGCAAGCTAGGAAGTGATTCTTCATAGAGCAACACAGGCAACTTCTTTTAGAGGACAGTATCTAGTTCTGTGATGATAGTTGTAAAAGGTGAGAAATATGGGAGTTTCAAAGCGTGGCCATGGGATGGTTTAGTTAACAGGGGTCCTCAAACTTTTTAAACAGGGGGCCAGTTCACTGTCCCTCAGACCATTGGTGAGTGTGCACTGTGGGCCCGGGACCAGTCAGCTGCTAAGCAGGACAGGCAGCGGCAGCAAAAACACACAGCGGGCCAGTAAATGTGCTAGGTGACGGGCCGTAGTTTGTGGACACCTGGTTAGTACATTGGATTCTGGAAGGAGAATGAGCAGGAAAGAACTTGGGACAATCACTTGCTAGTAAGTCAGGTGGTGGTCATTGGCTGCCTGTGGTATAAACTGTGTGTTTCTTTGATTTCAGTACCACATGTCAATTGCGATCTTTTGGAAATATGAAATATTTCTGCTCTGTACTTCATTACATCTAGCGGATGTTGCTTTATGTTTTGGAACCTAACTTGCAGAATGAACATGATATCATATAACATATTCCTAAACACATAAAAGAGGAAACTGGTTATAATAACTTGCCTCTTACCAAAACAGTTTTAAGAAGGTCCATACTTTTAGCCATTGACTGTCTGAAGTACAAAAGGAAAGTATATTCTAAGAAGAAAAAAAAGTGACACAGCAAGCATGTTTATTGTTACTAAAAGAATATTCACTTACATTTTTAGAGAAAATAAAAAATACATGACAGGCTGACAAAGGAGAATGGTCTGTCACTGAATAGTTGCCTTCTTACTCCTCATCCCCTAATATTTAAAAATGAAAATGTTTTCATGTTTTCTTATAATATTTACTGATTCCCCCCCCCCCATACCCCCAAGAAAAAGAAGCAAGAAAATTCCTCCTTTCCATGACTCAGTATTTTCAGGTTATCACAGACATATTCAGCTTCTGAATCTTATTAAAGTCAAAATATTGAGTCAATTCATCAGCACTAAGCTATTAGATTTTTGCTTTATGCATCTTTTGAAAGCAGGGCTTGATATAGAAGGTATATTTATGTAACAATGGTGTTACTCAGTGCCCTTGCATTTTTCTGCACATGCTATCTTAATGGAAATTTACTGGGAAATTCTTGCCAGAATAAACACATTCCTTCAGGACTGAAAAGCTTAACACACTTCTAGTTCAACTGTACCTCTTTCCCGTGAGCAGATAAACCAAATTATTTGGCATTAGTCATTATCCTTCACATAATTCACAGTACTTATTGTTGCTCCATGGGGGCTAAGAGTTGTGGGAGACAGGAATGCGGTGGCCCATATTACACTATAATGAGAGAGAAAAGCAAGGATAGGACATGTCTATATATGACATGAAATAAACAAAAAAATGAGTCTGGCAGATATCTGTAAATTAGCTTTAGCTATTCTAGTAAGACAGGATTAAGAAATATGAACCATATAGATAAGTTGAGCTGCTGATCCCAGAAATTTAAAAATACATGTTTTTCATTTTTAAGAGAGGGATAACTTGCTTATGAATGTAAATGCTTATAATGTAAATGCTTATAATGTAAATTAACATTTACATTTTAATTTGAGAATCAGGAGTGAAAATGCTACAATAAAAACACCGGCTATGTCATGACCACTGGGACCAGACAGGGGACCAGGATGGGATGCAAAGATGTAAACAGGATGATTGGGGCCACGGAGGGAGGAAGTGCCCCTTGAATTAAGGGATGGAGAAGGCAAACAATGAATAATGGAGACTTGAGGAAAGAGGTTCACAAACATGTCTTGGCCTTAGTCCTAACACCCACTCATCACCACCCCAAGGTTGCTACTGTAGGGATTGTTTATTAGTCATGCAACCAGCAATAATAAAGTACATAATCAAAGCAGAGAGAACTATCTTTAAAGGAATAGAACTGGCTGATTAGCATATTACAACTAAGTACTCAATTATACTACATTTATTAGCAGCAATAGACAATTAAGTTCTTTGACTTTTTCTAACAAACTAGTTGGAATTAAACAGCTCAGAGTTTAGTGACCTTCTCCTTTATGTAGTATTAAAATCCTACTATTTTATTTTTTTATTTTTTTCCATCATATGTCCAAGACTTATAATCCTACTATTTTAAATAATTATGGGAAAGGCCAGTTTAAATGTGAGAATGTTTGCACACTATTAAGGAACTTTATTGTATTTTTTATTTTCAATATTTTATAGTAAATAAAACCAATATAGCAAACAAAGTATTACTTCCTAGAAGTCCTTCATGGAAGATAAAAGAATAAGTTGAAATTAGAATATCAAAACACTTATTCAGAGCTACTACCCACACCCAAATTGTATATAAAGGAAAGTCACCATAGCTGAAAATTTTCCTCTTTTAAGTAATTAGGCATGGTTTTTCTCTATCTGTAAATAACAAAACAAGAGTTTAATATTTCTATTATATATCGGTTTTTATTATAAGCTTCTTAATTCAATCTTAGAAGTAGATGAGGTGTGAATTATAATAAAAAATATAGTTTATTTGAAGTGATAAAAATACTCTCATTTGTTCAATTTATACTTTTCATTATGGATAATATTTGAGAGATAAGTGTTTGGGGTAATCCAGGCTATTCAGAATTGCCAATAATTGAGTTTTTGCCATATTTTAAAATTATGAATATATAAGTCATGGATACTTTATAAGTAAAGATTAGAGATTGTTTTCTACAGTAGAGTATAGCACCAAACTTAGTAAATCATTCCTCTATATTTCAGTTCCAAAAATAAAATGGAAATTCAAATACTACTTTATTCATTGGTTTTAGGTATTTGCTATATTAGAGTGGACTAAGTTTAGTTTATGAATAGAAATGATCAATAGAAAATAGTACATAAAGTTCATTCACAATTAATAGTCTGTAATCAAGATTAAAACTGTTGCTTTCTAAAAAATTTTCAGGTTTAAATGAGTCCTAAAGTAATTCAAGTGTAGTGTAAATGGAAAAATAATTTACCATGTTTCTATTTGTTCTTCACTGTACTTTTATGTAGAACGTGAAACTATTCATTCTACATGCATATTATAATCAGTAGCACCCTAAGGTAAAGAGTTTCAAAATATGTCTTTGGTTTTATTAAGGAGAACTTAAGAAGTTTACAAATTCTCCAGCTCAGTGCTATGGTATTTTAGAAATTGTACTACCTTCTTGTGTACTAAAGTAAACCATGTCTTCTTTTGAATTTGTAGTCGCAGATATGGCCAATACACAATGAACCAGGAATGCACCACCAAAGTTACGGAGAAGCCTCCATTTAATCGATCCATTTCCCAGGATTCTTTGGATGAACTAACTATGGAGGACTACTGGACAGAGATAGAAAACATCAAGAAATCCAGTGAAAACAGGCAAGAAGATCAAGAGGTGGTTGTTGTCAAAGAGCCTGATGGTAATAACTAAATAAACTTTTGTTATTTTTATATGTATTTATGAGAAATGAATGCATGGAGAGGAGGAGAACAAAATTGACGATGGGACAATCAAAAAAAGATATTGCTAGTTGCCTTTCGACTTGAAAATTACTTGTTTGTGGCAGATTTATGGATACAGCTGGCACATATAAGAGGCATGAATAAATTCACTTAGTTGTAGATATGGCTGGAATGTTGTTGGCTAAGCTCATTGTATCATCGACTCTTAGGGTTAGACTAAATCTTTGAAATCATCATGAATCCCCCTAAATTCCTTCTGTAATGTGTTAGCCACACAATCATTTGGTCTCAACTAAGTGCAGATGGTGATGGACAGCACACTACTTTGCAGTGATACTGTTTTCCCAGTGGTCATTCAGCTTGAGTTGTTTTCATTGTTATTTTATTGATTTACAATCTACTGTCCTTTAACTTTGATGCACTTGCTGTAGTTTTGCCTTTAGGAAGAATAGAGCAAGTCTCTTCTAGAATTTACATGATATCCTTTCAAATATTTGAGGATAGTTATCTTGTTCTTAGACAAGTCCTTTTTAAATTGAAAATTCACGTAAACTAGTAATCCTTGTGGTTGATTTTCAGATGTATTATGATCTCAGTGATTTTATCATTCAAAGTATAGTACTCCAGATTCAATGCAGTGAATGCTGCGTGTTTTGCCAACTGATCTCAGAATATAGATTTGGGGAGTGGAAGATGGCATTAGCATTTTTAGCTTCCATATTTGCTTCTTTCTGGTATTTAGTCCATAATTTCTGTCAAATCTCTTTCCAGCCATATTTCCTATACTCTCCACTTACTAGATATTTTGGAAGAAATATATAAAACTTTACTTTAAAAAAATTTTTTTTATACTCTTTCTTTTAATCTCTTAGATTCAAGCAGTCACCAAGTTTTGATGCCCATTCTGGAATCTGTTATATTAGCTTTCTTTCTATGCCTTGTGTCATCTGTAAATTTGTAAGTATGTTTGGTGTTCTAAGTTGATATATAAATGGCAAAAGTGAGAGCCATCATCAGTGTCTTGTCATCTACTAATGGAGACCTCCTTTTCAATGGAATAACTTTTTAACTAAATGACTTAGGATTAAGTAGCAAAATCTATATAAATAGATTTCTTTGCAACATTTCTTGAAAAAAAAGCTACCAATAATAATTTAGAAAGAAAAACTAGAGATTTTTCTTAATTTATTTCATTTCTTAGATTAAAGGTAAAAGAAAATTATAATCAACTTATTCTTTGGTTTCTCATAAATTTTTCTCTCATTCTTTGACAAATATGTTACCAGTAAAGTCAAGCTTATTTGTGATAATTAATAACTTCTCTCAACCTTTCTCTCCAAATGTTTCAAGGTAGAAGCAGCTTATCAGTAGTGTGCTGAATAAGAGGAGAATATGCCAGAGAAAGCAGCATTTAAGCCTGTGTGTTATTAACAGTCTGATAATTCTCCAAAGTTAAATTAGATTTATAATTATTGTGCACAAGTGATCGTCAAGAAGATTGGGAAAATTCCACCTGCCCGTGCCTTTTCTTAGACTTTAAATTGTTTTGAGTTTTCTCTCTACTTTTCAATCGAACAAGTCACTATATATACCGTGTTTCCCTGAAAATAAGACAGGGTCTTATATTTATTCTTCCTCAAGAAGACAGCCTAGGGCTTATTTTCAGGGAATGTGTTATTTTCCTCTCAAAGCCTGAGCTTGCAGCACGCACAGGATGGCCGGGACCTGACGGGGAGCCGACCTTGTTGGTGGGGCTGCACGTACCTTTCCGGTCACCTCTGGGATAGTAGCTGTCACGATGGGGCAGATGAGAAGGGCTGGTCGTCTTCTTTACTGCTCCTTGATGAAATGCATGGGTTGTGCAGATAGGCGGCGTAACCACGCCCATCACTAGGTCTTATTTTCAGGGAAACATGGTAGTAATCTTGTTTATTTTCCTTGTCTTGGCAGTATTAGCTTTATTCTGGCTATTTGGTTTTTTGCTTCTATACTGAGTTTCCAGCTTAACATTAGTAATAATAATAATAATGTCTGGCTGACTTTTTATGTTAGGAAACAGTTTTTGTTGCCTGTCATGTGGAGTGCGTAGCACTGGATCATGTTTTTTGAAGCTAAAATTAATAATACTTGATTTCTGCCCTCAGGAGTTTCTGTAGTATGGAAGGTTAGGCAGGTCAGTCTTTGCTATGCCATGTGATACAGGCTATCCTAGTGCTTCAGAAAGCTCTTCCCATATGTTGGGTAATGACATAGCTGGGACAGTTGTCCTTTAGTTTACATATGAGAAAATGGAGTTGGCTTGAGGCTAAGTGACTTGTCCAAAGAACTGTAGCTATCAAGGTGCCAAAACGGGCTCTGGATCCAGGTCTTTTGTGTCCTAAATCATTGCCTTTACATTTCCCTCTATAAACATGGTGCTTGGAGTGAATCTATTCCAGTTATCCTTCTGTTTTACTATGATTTTCATTATATCTTATACAATATTTACATGAATGTTTATTTCCTGTTCTCAGTGTTTTGATTTGGTTCAGCTATTTAATTATATTCCTGATAAACTCTTTCTCTTTTTTTTTTGCTGAAGGTAGTGTGTGTTTTTTTTTTTTTTAATTTGTAAAAAATAACAATCTGATGTGCTGATTTGGGGGATTAGAAAAATTAATTTGCAGTTGATTAGTTCCCCATGTTCAGATGTTCTATGTCTTTGCTACACTTCCTGTCAGCTACAGTGAACAGAGAAAACAAGGCTTTCAATAAATTAGTGCTGGACTCCGAGGTAGAGCTGAATTTAAGCCAAGAAATGGGGCTTTAATGTATATCCCCAGCACTGACTTCCTTGTGTAACTTGATGGAAGTAAGTTATCTTTTCATTGCTTGCTCGTCTCTGCAAAGGGGAACAGTACCATCCTCTGACTTAATCTGCAGGGAAGTTATAGAGGTTAATTACATGTGAAGCCATTTAAAAATTTTAATTGAGTATATATGAAATCGATCTAAAATTTGATATCATTGTGGCTGGGAGTGTATGGCAGTCTTCCAAGTTTCAGATAATGATTCTTAGCACTGTGGTTTGGTTATAATAGAAGAGGTTCAGCAAGAGTTTTTAACAGTTTAAGAAATGTCAAATTTCTTATAATTTGTGATTTAAATACCATTTTTCTCTACTGTTTTAGAAGGAGAAATGGAAGAAGAGTGGCTTAAAGAGGCTGGTTTGTCGAATCTCTTCGGAGAATCTGCTGGTGATTCCCAAGAAAGCATGGTGTTTTTATCAACACTGACCCGGACCCAGGCAGCAGCTGTTCAGAAACGAGTAGAGACAGTCTCTCAGACCTTGAGGAAAAAAAACAAACAACACCAGATTCCTGACGTCAGAGACATATTTGCTCAACAGACAGAGTCAAAAGACAAAGTAGGTTTTCTTTTTTGATGTTAAGGCAAAGGAATAATTGCTTAGAATCAACTGGACCAACCCAGTTTCATGCAAATCATTAAAACCTTAATGAGCACCTATTACATGCCAGGCAGCAAATCTTGGTGTTGGCAGTGAACAAGGGGAACTTGATCTCTGCTCTTCTGGAAGTTATACTGATGGGGCAGAAAATTAAGCAACTTAAAATTCAGTGTGATAATCCTTATGTTAGAGGAAGAAGGTGTCCTTGGAGCATTAGAAGTGACTCTAACACCATTAGGGGTGACAGGAACAGCTTCCCAAACAAGTTGTCAGTTACAGAAAAGTAGGAGGTAGGGTGTTCTTCCTTATCTATTAATGCTTCGGAATATTTGATTTTTCCTAGATTCATCTGGGGATGGATGGAAGTAGAGTGTGAGGGAGCTAATTGCAGCTGAATTACACAGTAGGAACCCTGAGACACAAAATAATTTCCTCTTTGTGTCTAGCGCTTAGTGTGGTGACTAGAACATAGATGATTGGGTAAATATTTGTCCAGATGATTAATTTATTAGCAGAAGCTGTTGGAGTCATCTGGTAGAGACTGTGGGACTGCCAAAGGAAAAGATACTGGGAAAGCATGGTTAAAGTGCTAGACCTGTATGGCTTAGGTCATTTCATTGCTACTTGAAAAAGCCAGTTGGTGGATTACTTTTTACTCATCCATAAGGACATAAGGAGCTTGTGCAGAATGTAAATTACCATTCTTTCTTTCATCAAGAAAGTCTTGCTACCAAAAAAAAAAAAGTCAGCTGACTTAAATGGTGTTCTTGGGATCAAAGTTGATTTATATACTGACTGTGGCCTGGAAGACCCAGTGGTAGGGTTGGAATGGGAGTAAACAAAGGCACTCTGGAACAATGATTACAATGATAATAATAATAATAATAACAATTGCTGCCCCATTACTGAACAATCCCCATGCTAACTGCTTTACATGCTTTATCTGACTTAATCCTTGCAGCTGTCCTGTGGGTGAGGTATTACTATCACCATTCTGTGGCTGAGGCTCATAGACTTTAAGTAACTTGCTCAATGTCCCGTACACAGTAAACCCAAATTTGTCTGAAGTACATGCCTTTAACCACTCTGTGCCCTACTATATTTGCATTTTCATACATAGTTCTCATATTAAGCTTTCTGAATATCAGATTCAATTTACGCTATAAATAAGGGGTAACAAACATTTTATAATGCTTTATTTTAAAAAATGTAATGGAAGGGCTTATATTTAAGGTATCTTCCTGTCATGTAGAGTGTGGTTTTCTTTTCTTTTTTTTTCCCCCCTCACTCTTCATAGACATTTTCTTCTTCCAAGACAGCCTTTCTAGCTGCAGATTGTTATTCTATTTGCATGACCAGTTGTGGATCGAGTCCAGTCCATTTTACAGGAGTTTGGGGGTCACTAGATTGATCCAGGCATTTGCTTAAGTGAAAAGCTTGCTTACCCACCAGGGGTCATTTGGAACATCCACTAGTGTTGGACTAGGTTTCCAGCCATAGACAAATGAATGGGTAGGAAATACAGTATTGTGGCATTTTCTTCCTAATTAAAGAACCCTCCCTAAGGGAGTGAAAAGGGGGAGAGGGCAGAAAGCTGAGCTTAAGCAAAATATGTGTCTATTGTGAGATTCCTGCCAGTTTCCAACAGGATGTTGCTATTTGCTGCTAGAAGCAACATTTTTCAGCAAATTTCTGGCAAAGTCTAAACCACATGGTTTGAGTCCAATTGGTGGATTGTATCATCTGATGGAGTCATTAAGAGATAAATAGCACAAGTAAATTAAAATAATGTTAATGTGCTTGCCCTGCATGTCTTTCATTGGAACACTGCCAACCCCTTAGAATTTCACTTTGCATCCTGCATCTCTCAGGCAAAGTTGGGCCAGCCATCTTCACTTGCAGTTCTTCTGTTTTCGAGTAAGTGCATATTCAGTCAGCTCTTCCATTTTAAATGCTTCCTCATGAAGCCCTTGCTGACACTAGGAAATATAATACAGAAATGAATACCATCTGCCCTGCCATCTTCAATTGCTAAGGAAAACAATTCCGACCACATGCTCCAAAATATGTGTTCTTTTGTAAGATTAGAATCACTTACCATGATCACTGTGTCATGGAGGGCAAGCCCTCAGCAGGCTTGTGGGCAGAGTGAAGGGTGGGAGAATGGTACCGCTCTGTCCTGCAGGGAATTAAAGTGGGGCCGGGCACCGACCTACTACCTATGTGATTTGGTAGTCACTGAACACTGTCCTGGGTTCTGCCGCTCTAAGTCATACACTAACGGCCTAGATGTGCCTGCCCTAGTGTCTTCTCAGACTCTTCTTAGACTGCAGGGGGAGGGGGAGTCCTTCTTGGATAATAGTTGGAGATGAAACGTGTGGTGAGACTACAAAGGCCACTTTCTGTCTACAGAGATGAAATCCGATAGGATGATTATTTTAAAAATAATTCCTTCAAATAGTCCTCTTTGTGTGATTGATCCAGACTCCCTTCCTGCTTCTTGAATTTTTTTCCAAAGGCTCACCCGGAAAGGAGGAAGTTCTGTGTGGCCACACTTGCCATGGTTTGCAATGTCTATAACCCTTGGAGGGGTACTTTCTTAAGGTGTCACTGCCCCAACTCCTTGAAAACAGGGGTTCCCTTGAACGGTTTAGCTCTTATTGCCAGTTTGGTAATTTAGTTTTAATTTATCTCACATTTATTACTTGTGTTTGTTTTTTTTTTTTTAGTTTGAAGAATTTCTATATTATTACTGACACATCAGCTTGTGATTTTGTTTTATAACAATGCTATTGAGATATCATTCCCAGATCATACAATTCACCAGTTTAAAAGTGTGCAGTTCAGTGGTTTTTGAAAGTATATTCATCGGCGTACAACCATCACTACTGTCAGTTTTAGCGCATTTTCATCATCCCCAGAAGAAAGCCTGTACCCATTAGCAGTCTCTCCTCATGTTCCCTTCCCTCCTCGTAGGCAACCACTAGTCTACTGTGTGTCTCTGTGGTTTGCCTGTTCTGGACGTTTCCTATAAATGGCATCATAGGATGTGTGGCTCTTTGTGACTGGTTCCTTTCACTTAGCATACTGTTTTCAAGGTTTATTCATGTCACAGCATGTATCAGCATTTCATTTCTTTTTATAGCCAAATAATAATTGCTTTGTATGGATAGACCACATTTTGCTTATCCACTCATTAGATAACAGATATTACTAATTTTTTAACATGTTTGTCTTTTCCCCTCAACTAAATAGTGGCATTCTTTTTTTTTTTTTTTTTTTTGAGACAGAGTGTCACTCTGTTGCCCTAGCTTGAGTACAGTGGTGTTGTCATAGCTCAGCGCAACCTCAAACTCCTGGGCTCAAGCTGTCGTCTTGCCTCAGCCTTCTGGGTAGCTGATAGCTGGGACTATCGGCGCGAGCCAGCACACCTGGCTAAGTTTTCTACTTTTTACAGAGATGGATTCTCACTCTTCCTCAGGCTGGTCTCGAACTCCTGGCCTCAAGCACTTCTTTCACATTGGCCTCCCAGAGCGCTAGGATTACAAGCATGAGCCACTGTGCCTGGACTTAATAGTGGCATTCTTGATGGCAGGGACACTCGTGACTATTTTTCATATTCCCTCCAGGCTTAGTATTATGTCTTACCGGTTCTGGGTAATCAAATATTTGTTGGCTGATTGCTTGTTGATTATAACCATAGTGCTTTTTTTCCACTGTGATTGTTATAATTCTGAGTACATTTCTTGTACTCTAAAGATTAGTAACGGAATTATTTACAATACCATTTTCTCTGGTTGTGAGTGGAGATGACTAAATGGCCTGTTTTCTATGTTTAGGCTCCAGATGGCCCTGAATCGCAATCAGTCAGTACAAATGAAAACAAATACCAAGGAAGAGATGGTATGTTGAACCTGTTCTTTTGTTTTTTTCCCCCTCCTTTAATTAGTATAACAAACAGATACAACCTTTTAAACCATTCACCTTCAATTCTTGTAAGCAAATTCTATTAAAATGCTAATGTAAGGTCCCAAGTGGATAATTACATGAGGTTGAATATATAGTTGGCCCTTGATTTTTTTTTTTTTAATGTGCATTCCTACCTGATCAACATCCATATACGTATCTTGCTGAACACTTATTATGTGCTAGGTACTATGAGAAGTTTACCTGGTTTAAGTACACTTAGGAACTCTGTGTAGTAGGTACTGTTCTTAACCCATTTTACAGATGAGAGAACTGAGGTTTAGAGATGTGAAGTCACTTTCCAAGACCTTACATCTAGTCATTGGAGCCAGTGAATTGGGAGCCTTGTTCTCAAATCACCACTTCCTAATTCATAAGTGGATTAACTTGTAGAAAGTTTAGAAAAATTTGAAAGAATAGTTGTTTTGGCAATTGATTATAATTCTCTTTTTCATACTTTTCTAATATATGTTTCAGAAATGAATTAGAAATTCAAAGCATGGATGTAAATAAATACTAAGTCTTTATTAGTACTTACCAAGACAGAATTTATAGCTATTTCATTTGTTTACAAAAGGGAAAAAATATTCTAAATTAAGATCATAGATTAAAGCTTGAGACTTTAGTCCTTAATTGTGATTTAACAAATTCTAATGAAGGTGATCTGTGTTTATATTCGTTTTTTTTTTTTGGTTTGAGACAGAGTCTCACTCTCTTGCCTGGGCTCGAGGGCCATGGGATCAGTCTAGCTCACAGCAACCTCAAACTCCTAGGCTCAAGCAATCCTTCTGCCTCAGCCTCCCAAGTAGCTGGGACTACAGCCATGCGCCACCATGCCCGGCTCATTTTTTCTCTATATATTTTTAATTGTCCAGCTAATTTCTTTCTATTTTTAGTAGAGATGAGGTCTCACTCTTGCTCAGGCTGGTCTTGAACTCCTGACTTTGAGTGATCCACCCGCGTGGGCCTCCCAGAGTGCTAGGATTACAGGCATGAGCCACCACGCCTGGCCAGTGTGTTTATATTCTTAAGATTTAGCAACGGGGGTGTTCGTGCCCTTAAAGGTATTGCATTTGGTTTGGACGTAGTGAGGAGAGGAGTATCAAACTGACATTGGGAAGTGTTCCCAACCTTCATACGTTAGGCCGAGATTATATGGGACATTTTGGAGTCTCGGAGCATCCATAGCTCTAATTTTCCTTCCATACTTTTCTCAGAACTTCTTCCCTGCACTTCTACCTACCTTAAAAAAATATATATACACACACACACACACGTGTACATATGTGTGTATGCATGTGCATGTACACATACATATATATATTAATATCTACAAAAGCATTTGCTTCTTACTATTCTGTGGAGGTTTCTTTAGTTACACGTGTTATATCAGAATGAAATTACTGGGTTTTCCTCCCATCAGTGTACCAGCTAACACTGAAGTGGCAAGCAAGCTGGCAGAGCTGGGTCATCAGGAGAGACAGATGAATTCTTTGTGCCAATGTCAATATGCTTGGGGTTTTGGGGGAAGAGTGACTGGCAGTTGTTTTATGGATACTGAGGAAAACATCGTCCTTTTTTGGTGTTTTCCTCCCTTGCCAGAGATGGTGATGTAGGCTATATCAACACAAGCTCTGGAAGACAAGTTCGTTGTGTGAGCACTTTCCAGCCTGGCTTGCAGCAGGCAAGGGAAATGTGACACACTTGCCGCCTGATTTACATCTGCTTTTGCTGGAATGCTCTGAAGTGGGCATAGAGCCTCCAACCAGAAAAACAAGAGAACATGTGTAATGCCATCCAAGTCACTGAGTATTTACTGTTGCACCTGTTCTGGGCAAGGCCATGCTCTTTCTCTATGCAGTGAATTAACCAGTGTTGTGCAAACATTGGAAAGTTCAGAATGAAATGCATGGGGAAACATTGTCTGGGGTTCAAAAGTGGGCTGGTTTGTGATTAAAATTGAAAGGCTTGGGTGACATAGTCTCTTTTAAGTGTCTTTCCCACACTTGGGTTTTGAAACATGTTCAATCAATGATACTTGTTCTAAACAAAAATCCCCTAAAGTTTTAATGTTGCAAGCGTTGTCACATTTCAAATTACTCAAAATATCAATCCACTGCTAAATATCAATCATAACTTTTCACCAAATCATGCAACTCTATGGAAATCCCAGTGTGTAATACATACATGTAGAAATATTAATAATGCCCAAGTAATTTCTTTATACTTTCATACCGATATATATACTTTTTAATTTTCTTCTGGATTTTCATGGAGGAAGGAAAAATCTTTTATTCATTAAATACAAGCATTTTGGGATATTTTGGACAATTGAAAGAGTTTAGAGAGATTTGTAAAATATTTGTAATCCACTGCTATTGTGCACTTCAAACCCAAAGAAAAATAAAGAGATAGTATTTACATGTTAGGACTTTAAGAGCCATAAGATATATCTCAGCATTCTCTGTTAATTTTTCTTATTGAGAGTAGATAAATGATTCATCACTTTTATTAGTCAATTAACCATCTATTTTTATAGCAGTGTCCCCCGATACCTCTGAAAGTGTTTTTTCTGCTATCAGCTTCTACTTGGTTTTTCCCTTTGAATTGAAGCTTTTATAGTAGTTTTAATTTTTTGCCATGTTTTTGGAGAAAATTCATGTCTTACATGTGTTCTAACTTTTTTTTTTTTTTGAGACAATGTATCACTCTATCACCTTAGCTAGAGTGCAGTGGCATGATCATGGCACACTGTAACCTCCAATTCATGGGCTTAAGATATCCTCTCTCTTCAGCCTCCCAAGTAGCTGGGACTGCAGCATGTGCCACCAAGCCTGGCTGAAGTTTTTTGGTAATTTTTTTTTTTTTTTTTTTTTGAAAACAGGGTCTTGTCATGTTGCTCAGTCTGGTCTCAAACTACTGGCATCAAGCAATCCTGCCTCAACCTCCCAAAGTGCTGGGATTACAGGCGTGAGCCACTGTGCTCGGCTGTTCTAACTTAATTATTAATTACTCCGTTTTAAATTCAGCACAGCCCTTTTGTTTGGGTGTGTGTGTGGGGAGCGGGTATTTATTGTAACTCTGACATAGAGGCGTTGAAAAGAGAGTAGTTTTCAAATTCTTGTCCACAAATAGCTGCTATAAAGGTAGCTTCTAATTTAAGAAAATGGCTAATCATTTTTTTCCTCTTAGAATGGTTTCCTAGGAAACCAACCTACCTAGCTAGTCACAGTAAAACACAGAAGAGTATAAACCAGTGGGAGAATAAAATTCCAGTGTGCTTTGACATTTATGTTAATACTTTAAAAAAGTAATTGTAAAATGTATAATAAGTATCTTAATTTTTTTACAAAAATGGTCATAGACTGTTAAAAAACTAAATGCAACATAGATAGCAGATAAATACTAATAATACCAAGGAGCTTCAAATTTATTTTCGTTTTTGGAATTGGCATAGGTAAAGGCTTACTTTCTTAACTGTGAGATGCTACCAGGACCAGCTATGTAATTTGCAGGGCCCAAGGAACTCAAAATGTAGGGCTTCTTGTTCACATGTCAAGCTGGTGACAGAAGGGCATCAGACCCGTCATGGAACTCTCTGGAGCTCAGAGCTCCATGTAGCTGCACAGGTCGCACGCCCACGAAGCCCAACCCTGCGTATTGAATGGGAGTAAATAAGACTAGATTCATATTTTCTTCTTAATATTCTTTTAATTAAAACAGGTTTATTTTGATTTGATTTTAAATGACTATAAACATGTTTTTCTGAACAGCATACTTTTAATAATATACATATATATTTATGACATATATTTATTACATGTTTACATTAACTTTACCTTCTCTCACTTATGTTGTATTCATATGTGAGCATGTTAGTATGTAAGCATGTGAATGCACTGTGTACATTTATTTTGTAATTTCAGAGGATCTTAACTATGAATGAAAGGCCTACGGTGAGAAAATATCAGTAATCCTGGTTATTGGTGCTATAGAGGTTTTTTCTAATGTGAGTTTCATTAAAACCAAAAATTTATAAAACAGTCAGATTTAGAATTATTTTCTCCAAAGCTTAAAGCTGGTATTCTCAACAAAGAGGTTTTATTTCTTCTTGCAGGGTTAACAACAAACAAACCAAAAAAAAGCCAAAAATAAGTTAGACTTCTTATATCCTTGGAATTTTGATGTAAATATCTGAAAGTTATTTGACTAGTGTTTATAATTGTAGGAACTTTTATACTGTTGGATATAATCAGTTGCAAAACCTAATGGTTCCTGTACCAGGTACCTCTAGGCCTGACTCCCATACCATTCTCATAGTGATAAGTTTTTGGCACTAACTGTTGTTTTGAGATTTTTACCATGATAGGTAGGTAACATTCCAGAAGGAAATTCAGGGTGTGGAAGAGGTTTATTCCAGGAATGAAGAAATTATATTGCCAGCTCTACAACAAATTTTAGCTAATTACCTCTCTCTCTCTCTCTCTCTCTCTCTTTTAATTCCTTGGTGAAGAGTAAAACAACAATAAAGTCTTCTAAGTTTCTGTGAGGTTTTCCATTATGAGTGTGATATCCTCCAGCCATGTTTTGGAATTGGACTCAGTCTAACCAAGAATTTTTATTTCAAAGAAAGTTTCCATCATTGAACTGTGAATTGCTAGTCACCAACATCTCGTCACCCACTTCCCATGCACCATTGATAGTATTCTTGACTGTCTTCTTTATTATTAAAATAACAGTTAATTATTGCCTAGAGAAAAATAGTACTCTTTCCAAAGGTTTTTATCTAGTAAATGCATTAGAATTTAAAAAAAAAAAAAAAAAGAAAGAAAGAAAGCATATGAATTGGGTCTCCTCTGCTCCAATCTCAGACCAGGCCTCCAGCCTCATGGTTGGTGAAGAAAAGCTGATGGCACCTGAGGATGCACCTGCCTCCGAAACAGACATCAATCTGGAGGTGTCATTTGCTGAGCAAGCGGTCAGTCAGAAAGAGACCTCCAAGGAGAAGACTCAGAAGAACACAGACAACGATACCTTGTCACCTGTACGTAACACACTATTAATAGATGTCACTAACATAAGAATGAATATATATACATATATATGTGTATGTGTGTGTATGTGTATATATATATATATATGTATATATATATACATATATATATATAGATGGGGTCTTACTCTGTCACCCAGAATGGAATGCAGTGGCACAATCATAGCTCACTGTAATCTCCAACTCCTGGGCTCAAGTGATCCTCCTGCCTCAGCCTCCTGAGTACCTGGGACTACAAGTGCGCACCCTCACACCTGGCTCATTCTTAAATTTTTGGGGGGAGGCAGAGTCTCCCTATGTTGCCCAGGCTGGTTTCAAACTCCTGGCCCCAATCAGTCCTCCTACTTCAGCCTCCCAAAGTGCTGGGGATTATAGGCGTGAGCCACCACACCTGGCCACAAGAATATATGTATATTTTTAATCAGCTTTTTATTTTGAAACTTTAGAACGCACAGAAAAGTTGGAAGACTAGTATGACAAACACCATGCAGTCTTCATAGAATGATTCAGCCATTTCTTTTTGTCTTTCCACATTTACGTATCTCTAGGTATGTTCTATCAGATATGCACTCACTTTTCTTTGAATTGAGCAAAGACATATAAAACAAGACACAGTTATAATACTTAAGAAATTGAAACTAAAGTGATAATTATATTTAATGTACAGTCATATTAGGATTCCCCCAATTGTCACAATATTGTCCCTTATAGTTTCTCCCTTTTCCATCCCCAATTGGATTTCAAATAAGGGTCATATTTTGTATTGTTGTCATACTTTTTGGGTTTCCTTGAATCTAAATTAGTTCTTGCTTTTTTTTTTTTTTTCCTTTAATATTTTTGAAGAGTCCAAATCAGTTTTCTGATTTTGTCTGATTACTTCCCCATGACCGAACTCAAGTTAAACATTTTTGGCCAAACTATTGCATAGGTGATGTTCATGCCATTGATTGCACCTTCAGAAGTGCATAGTGTCAGATGTTGCCTTTGTTGGTGATGGAAGTTTGATTACTAACTTGGCTAAAAAGAGATGTTCACTAGATCTCCTCATGATAAAGATACCTTTCCCATCATAATTAATACTAATTTGTGATCCGTGAGACTGAGCGAATATCGTATTTGTTAATAATAACCTATTGCCCAGTGGTTTCCCCATCCTTGTTTGAAATAATAATTAAACTGGAGTGTGTGAATTGATATTATTTCCAATTCTATTATTCTTTCTACATTTATTGGCTGGGAATCCTCCATAATGATTGCTACTTCGCTTTCTAGCACAAGATGTTTCAGGCTGTCCTTGTGATTTTCTTTGCTCAGACTTGCATGTCTTTAATAAGCTCTGGTTTCTTTTAGCAGCAAATTATATTATTAATATTTAGAAACCAAGCTCTGTGTATGGAATATTCTTATTGCTACTGAATGTCTTCTATTTTTTAACAGTGCATTTATTATGTGGAATTTCACACATGCTAAAGTTAAAGAGAATAGTACCAAGAACTCCCAAATACTTACCACTCAGCCCTAACATTCATTAGCCCATGGCCAATCCTAACCCATCCCTGCCCTACCCAGTTCCCCATTCTGTGCGATTTTGAAACATATCTCTGAATTATATTTTATCATCTATAAATATTTGCATATCTAAAAAAGGGGATTTAAAAAACACATATCCATATTGCCATATTGTACCTAAAAAAATGCTAAAAATTTTTAATTTCAAATATCTAATCAGTGTTCAAATTTCAAGTTGTTTCACAAATTTCATGGTTGTCTTGTACAATCTGTTTGAGTCAGGATCCAAATAAGGATTTTATTATATTAAGGATTTTATTATATTGATTGAAGTTGGTTGATAAGTCTTCTAAGACTCTTAATCTCCCCCTCCATTTCTCTCTCTCTCTCCCCCCCTCCCCCTCCCTCCCCCCACCCTCCCTCCCTCTCCTCTACCTTCCCTGCCCCACCTCTCACACACACAGGAGAGCCTTGGTTGACTTTAAATTTATCAGATTTAGGTTTAAGTCTTTTTTGGTCAAGAGTACTTCAGATATGTGATTGTTGTGTTCCCTGTCAGGAGACTCATAATATCTGGTTGTCTTTCTTTTTTGTGTGTGAAATTAGCTGCCAATCAATACCTGGGTCTATTAGTTTATTAATGGTTACAAAATGATGATGTAATATTTTCTTCTCTTTTTTTCCCTTATTACTTTAGATATTTCCTTTTGAGAATAATTTCTCAAAATGGTCACTTTTCCCCTTTACTTTCCCTTTTACCAGTTTTTAAGATCTTTTGGCTCTTTAGCATCTTTCACTAGTGACCAGTTAATAGTTTTGTTTATTTTGTGAAAATAGACTTTTCATTCATGGATTTATGCATATTTGGTGTGACCCTAGATGAAATTTTCCAGGCATATCTGGTATCCAGACCTACACTTAACTGTTTCTGCAAAAAAAATCCTGGTTCCATTTAGTAGAAATAGACTTTCGTGACTATGAGCAAGACACCAGGAGTGTTCATTTCTCCGGGTCGGTCATTGCTTTCAGGGCTTTTCAGAGGACAGAAGTACATCTGTATCTTCTTTCTCCCATGCTGAGAATTGTAGTCCTCAGGAAATGGCAGATGATATATTTAGAATATCACGTAATTATAATTTACTTGTTTGCTTTCTCTTGCATTAATGCACAGCATTCTCAGAATAACTATGCTTATACTACCACCAACAATATGATTACTACAAACTGGCTTGAACTTGTTCTTTCAGTTTTTTTGTGTCCTTGGGGTACATCCCACAGGGGATTTTATACAGCAAAATGATTGTGCTTTAGGTTGCTGAGGACTGTTGTTCTCTGTATGGCTAAGCCGCCAACTGTGTACGTGGTTGGGTTAAATATTTTTCATTTTATTTTCAACTGTTAGAGATTGCTTTTCTGAAATATAATTTTATTTTTTAAGCATGTAAAATATTTATATGGTCCAAAAGTCAAATCTAAAAACAAAGCATATTAAAAGTCTAGCTTCTATCCCATTCAATCCCTCCTCTTACATAATAAATAAAATTATTTATTTTAATATTATTGTTTATCCTTCTGTTCTTAGATAAATGGTAGCCCACTATATACACTTTCTTCCACCTTGTTTTTTTTTTATTTTTTTGACTCAGCAGTATATTCCAGAGATCATACCATAATAGTAGAAAAATAGTTCTCATTCCTTTTTATCTTAATGGATACATTGTACTCCATTATGAGGATGTATCATAATTTAGTCAATCAATCTCATAATGGTGGCCATCTGAATTGTTTTCAGGCTTTCTCATATATTTTTTAAAATCTTTTTTTGTACCTAGTGGAACAAGTAAAGGGATATGCAAAATTTGACCTAAAGTGATGAGCCACACTCTAGACAATCCTTAGATTTTTAAGTGATAGTCTTCACCTCGAAAGATGGAAATGTTTTAAATTGAAGGATAGTAGAATGTAATTAAACAGAATGAAGACATTGTTGACTTGTAAGTTGTTGACTCAAACAATGGAATAATTAATCTTTACTTAAGAGTTTTCAAAACAAGACATCCTCTGCCATTTTTTTTTTCAAGAGCCAGCTTCTTACTTTGTCCCCTCAGTCTAGAGGAATTCCTAGGCCAAAGCCTGCGGAGTAGCTGGGACTACAGGTGCGCACCACCATGACAGTCTAAGTATTTTATTTTGTTAGAAATGGGGTCTTGCTGTGTTGGCCTGTCTGGTTGTAAACTCCTAGCCTCAAGTGATCCTCCTGCCTCAGCCTCTTGAGTTGCTGGGGTTACAGGCACGAGCCACTGTGCCCCTAGTCTCTGTCATTTTATTCTCTGTTTAACAAGCTAATTTGTGTTCATCTGCCCTCTTGATTTTGTTCACATTGTGTCCCAAGTATAAAATGACCTCTCTATTTCCACCCCTCTGATGTTCCATATTTGCCAAGGAAACCTTAATCTATCCTGAGTCTAGCTTGCTGTCCAACTTTCCTGTTAAGTCTTTCCTGATTGTGAACTTACATTAGATAAGATATATAAAATCACCTTTTGAACTATTAAGTTACACATTTTTGATACTTATCAATCTATTCACTTATTTGTTTATGTATCTACGCATCTATTCATCTATATAACATTTTTAAATAAATCTCTTCTAAAAGGCATGGAAACATTGTAAAGATTCTACGAGTCCTTCATCTGGTTTGTGATATAAATATTTGTATTCACTACTCTGAGGCAGGTGTCTAAGCAGATAAAACCTTAAGTTCCATTTCTTCTCCATGTTCGCCTGCTTCTGTAAATAAGCAGTGGGCTTTATGTAATACAGCGTTCTCTGTTGATCTCATTGCATATTCACTTCCTTTTTCTTACAGCATTGTGCAGTCTTTGTTAATTCTTTATGATCTCTCACAGTGGATTCAAATTTCTTCTCTTAAATTTGGAGAGCAGGTTTTATAACCTTCAATGTGCTTTAGTTTGAAAATTTAGCTACTATTTATTGTATATACATTATTATAGCCCTGAAAGTATGCTCTGTAATTATTTCATTCATTTATCAAATGATCTCTATGAGGTGGATATTCTTAACCCTATTTTTAATACAGGGAAACGAATTAGATTACATGACATGCTGAGGCTTGACTTTAATGACTAAGCTTCTGAAGCTTTTTCTCTTGCTTTTCAAGTCAAAGCTAGAGTGATTTGATGAGTAAAAAAATCAAGTTCATCATTACTGATGAAGTGCCTGGGGGCTCCTTGTATTGCAAGTCCTGTAATAGAGGGGTGCAGTTGTGAAAAGCTACCTAGTTAATTTATGGTATCACCTAGGAACCAATGACCTTATATTTTTTGAAAAACATTATTTCATTCTTTAAACACATTTTTCAAAAGGTAAAGAGCTTTTATCTTGCTGAAATTCCACTGCATTCTGTCAGCCAACGAACTGAACCATTCAGTCTATTAACTAAACAACAAAAAACAACAACAGGAAACTTTATAAATATTTAAAGCTGCTGCTATGAATTAAACATTGGGTTAAAGAACTAACTCCTTCATTAAGCACAATGTTTAAATAAATAAATAAGCTCATGACATATATTGCTACGTAAATCAAATGTTTGAATTAGTAATATTTCAGGTTTCTCCAAACATTTACCTTGGGTAATGCTTTCAATGATTGTATTACGTGTGTTTGGCTTATTAGACCACAAGCAACTGCTTTTAATGAAACATTTAGGACTTCTTTAAAAAAAAAAAAATAGATGGTAAATATGGTTGGTTTAGCCATTCAGAAAACAAAGCAATTCACAGAAATATCTGGCTATAAGCGTAAGAGAAATGTGACTGGTTTTATATGATTTGAAAAGTGCAGCTCAGTACAAATCACAGAAAATCAGGAGAACATCAAGCCAGTGGCCCCTTTACCTTATTGGGTTTGATTCTGTGCTTTTGTCCCTGTAGGATGTTCATTCAGTAGACCATGACAGAGCACCTGTCGTGTGCCAGGTCTACAGTGCAGTAGGGTTACAGAGGTGATTAAGATGTGGCCCAGTCCCACGTCAATACTCATCAACCTAGATTTCTCCCTGCCTACTGTGGCGGAAGGGGGAAATGGAGGAGAACAGAACGGTTACTGAACTTAGCATTTAGAAGATCTGCATTTGTACCCTTACTATATCACTGCCTGTGTGGCCGCGATTAAGCCTCTTTACCGAGCCTCAGTTTCTCCACCTAGAATATGCCGTAATAATTCTTAACCTTTCGTGACTTTTGCAGAATATAATGTGAAACCATTTATCAAATATGAGTATTATCTTTATTTTTTTCTTACCTTGCCATAATATATAGGAGAAAAGGGAACCCACGAGATGTTGAGATTATTTAAAAAGCCCTGTGAAAAAATATAGTAATAATAACTTAACATTTCTTGAGTGTTATGTGCCATTTGGTCCTCACCACAACCGAAGAGGCTGAGGCACAGATGGTGACTTAGGGAACATGGCTACAGTGATGGCTCTGCCCTGCGATCTGGCTCCGCTTTAACTCCTGCGCTCCACACCGCGGAGCCACCCCTGCCGCTGCTGGAAATTCACTTAGGCTCCATCTTCAATGGTGTCTATTGCTGTTTTATGTAATGTTCTCTAGGAGAAAGAATGTATTTCAAAAAGTTAAGAAAGACATCTTTTCTATTACAGCAGACTTGAACGCTCTCTCTTAGAGTTGAATTTACTTAAAAAGAATTAGCTGTTAAATTACCAAAAGTTGTAGACTTAAGAAATAGATCTAGGAGAGCGACTCTCAAATAGTTTGGTCTCACAATGCTTATGCTCTAAAAAATTATTGAGGACCTCAAAAAGCTTTTGTGTATGTAGGTTATAATATGGATATTTATGAGATCAGAAATTAAAATTGAGAAATTAAAAAAAATTAATCCATTTAATGTAATAACGTAGTTAACACAAATACCTTTAAAAAATGGAGAATAGCTGTATTTTCTGAAACAAAAAAAGTAGTGTAGCATGGTTTTAATTTTAACAAGTCTAATGTCTGGCTATAGTGGAGGTCAGCTGTAGTCTCATACTTACCTCTGCATTCGTTCTATTGCAATAGCGTATGCCACATCTGGAAAACTACACTGTACACTCACAAGGGAATGAGAGTGTATAAGGCAAAATAATGTCTTAGTGCAAATTATTAAAATAGTTTTGACCTCTTGCACTTCTTAGGAGGGTATTGGGTACTCCCATGGGTCCCCGGACCACACTTTGAGAATTACTGCTTTAGACATGTCTTTTTCTCTAGTGTTTTGACGATGAGGTGTTAATGACATGGTACAAAAATCAGCAAAGAAAAGGGAACAAAATGGAATCAGTTGAATCAGTTAATCAGCAATTTAATGAGAAAGTCAAAGGCAAACCCAAACTACTAGAGAATGATCATCTTTTAGTAGTGGGTAAGCACAATGGGACTGTAATTTGTATTACATATGTTAGAGAAATTCATGTTTTTACCCTGTGGTTTGTTTTATTATATTTAATGTGTTTAATGTTAAAAGAGGCTGAATAAGTAGTAGATGGTATTTGAGAAAGGCAAAAAACAAATGTACCACATAATTTGCCTGTGGTCCTGAGTAATATCTTTAAGTCTCAGTTTATTTAGTGATAAAAGTAATAATACAGGTTGAACATCCCCAATCTGAAAACCCAAATTCCTAAATGCTCCAAAATCGGAAACTTTTTGAGCACTGACATGATGCCACAAGTGGAAAATTCCACACATAAGTGCTTTTTTTAATGCATGAAATAAAATTAGTGGAAATATTTTATAAAATTACCTTCAAGCTATGTGTATATGAAACATAAATGAATTATGTTTTTAGTCTTGAGTCCTATCCCCAAGATATAGCTCATTACACATATATAAATATTCTAAAATCTGAAAAACATCTGAAATCTGAAATTTCTGGTCCCAAGCATTTTGGGGGTAAGGGATGCTCAACCTGTAATAGCAACCACCTCTTGGGCAGTGCGGAGCATTTAAACCTACAGCAGCCCTCCCATTTTACAGAAAGAAAGGTAATTGTCATAAGTCACACAGCTAGTAAGTGGCTAGATGACTGGTAGGCACTCTGGCTCTAAAGTCCCTGCCCTTAGTTGCCCCCTTATCCTCCTTTCCCTCCCCCAGTGCTATGTAGCCTTTCTGTAACAATCTTACTTGGGTTTTCTTATGACAAATAAAGGATAAGTGACGTATGTAAAGGGTAGTTGGCCCATTCTCAGCACACACTCATGGCTACTATTCCTCTTTCTCTTCTCCCTGTTTGTCTTGGTATGTCATCTTCCTCCTCTTCCTTCACTTCCCCTCAGTCTTCCTCCTCCTCTACCCCCATCATGGTTAGTGTTTGACTTTTAACCTTCCTTGGTTTCGAAGGTCAGGGACCTAGAAGTTTTTTTCTCCTTTGGGCTCACTGTCTGTCTCGTCCTCTGAGCCACTGATGTTGGTACTCCCAGCACATGGTCTGCTTCCATCGTCTTTCAGACTTTGGTGGTTGACTTTTGAACTCCCCACAGCTTTGGGGACCATCTTTATGACAGGACCGCTCTTCAGTCTGCCTGGAGAAGTTCTGCCGTGGCTTGTAGTCACTTATTCTGAGTATAACTTCTTTATGCAGTTACTTTTATTTTTCTTCTTGCATTACAAAAGGGATTCGATATAGTAAACCTTTATTATATTAATGATATTTATTTTAGAGTTTCAGATTGCCAAAAGACAAAACAGGCACCACAAGGATTGGTGACCTCGCGCCCCAGGACATGAAGAAAGTTTGCCATTTAGCCCTAATTGAGTTGACTGCCCTCTACGATGTGTTGGGTATTGAACTGAAACAACAAAAAGCTGTGAAAATCAAAATGAAAGGTAATCATGAACTGAAAAAACAGTTGGATTTACTTCTAAAGTAGCATGGATGGAGTTGGCTTTTTAGTGGTATTCCCAGGGGACAGGAGAACAACTGCAAAATAAAGCAACACTTGAATACTTCTGAAGTTCAGATTGTAAAAGATTGCCTTCAAAAACCTTGTAACTTGATAAAAATACACTGTGTCCTAGACTGTAGAAAGTAAAGGTATAATCAAATAAGTTGATTCTCATAGAAAGGAATTCTGAATCAAGGAATACTAACTTGTGCTTTCTCCTTTGAAAATTATATATTTAAAAAGAAACATTTGGTACACATTTATTTCCAAAATCTTGAAAAATGACATTAAGATGATTGATTATGAATGCTTGCTTTTGCTTGTTGGAAATACATAGGATAGTTAGTGGTCTGTACCCTTTGTTCATTGACATTCTCATATTAACTATTTTGGAAAGACATTCTTTCCACTATTAAGAAAATGATGCCATTGTGACACACAATACCACTAGACTGTACTCATCATGGAAATGTGTAGTTTTTCTTTTGTAAGCAGTTTGCTTTGCCCATTACATAAACAATTTATTTTTTATAATATGATAGAGAACAGACACTGCTTTAGTTTTTGTTTCTACAAGATTTTATGAGCCCAGAAATCCAGATAATTCTCTATTGACAAAGCTGTTTAGGAATCTCTGTCCTCTTATTTAATCTTAAAGGTATCTCCTGAAGAGAAACCAAGGAGGGGGATTATTGAGTTGCTATGGTAACATTAGCAAAGACAAGTATTCACCTGATTTAGGTTTTAGAGCCAATTACTCAATAGGACCGAAGTGTACCTTCCCCTCAGGTCCTCTGTCATGCTGAGGCCCAGAAGACCTCATTCTGTGCTTAGTTTCTTTGAGTATTTTAGCTCAAGGCCTAGGATGGTGAATTTTTGAGTTAAGTGCTGCTCTGGTTTTTCATAAATCCATTACGGATAATGAAGACTTCAGATGCTTTTTAAAAAGCTCATCACAAAGCCTTCTCCAAATACAACACAGAAATAATTTAAGTAGTTGAGAGTCAGTGCCCAAGATTTTTCAAGTAGCTTAGAGAGGTTTGGTTTTGTTTTAAAATTGCATCCTAGCAGAAAACTATTAAGTTATTCACATTAAGACTGTCATTGTTAATAAAATAGAATTTCTTTCCATCTTTTAAAAATATGTGTGTCGTATCCAAGATATTTATCTTATATTTTACACTAGACCCTTAGCATTCTTACGGATTGCATCTTTTCTTAGTTCCCAAACTGAAAAGTTATTTACTGGGTTACTGGCTTTCTTTTGAATGGTATCTCGATTAAGTGTCACAGTGTCCAATGTCTGTCCTCATACCACCCTTTTCCATGTTCACAGATGAATTTTATTTCTTTGATGATGTGTGTCATAAAGGAAAAAATTATGACTTTGGTGCTCACTATCCACTCAGTGATGGGAGGGAGGTGCTGGTAGAAGCTATGTTCCTACCAGACTCAAGACCTATAAATTCCATTTGGAAAAATTATAAATTATGACTTGTCATCTCTTTTGGAGTTATTCCTATATAAAACTGCAAATTTAAATTTAAGAATACCACAACTATATTTTCCAAAGAGAAACATTCGTAGAACAAAGTCATGATATTGGCTGACTTCTCAAAAAGCAAGTGTTTATATTTGCCAGTATTGTAGAATGTTAAATACAACCTAGTATGAAAGAGATAAGTGATATTTGCTTTTGAGTCAGAACTTTTAATTTGATTCCATTTACCAAAATTATTTGAATATTTTACATATTCTCACAGTACTTTATTTCTTTTATGTAGTAGTTTGTACTTTTCTAATTATTTCTGTGATTAATTTGCAATCATTTGTTTAGTTGTCTTTTCCTGCCAAATTGCTTGATAAGGCAGGACTATTGGCCTTTGTATACTGTGGCTAGATTGTGTCATTCACTTAGTAAATGCTCAATAAATAATTGTCTGATTGAATGGCAATGTCAGAAATTTTATGCTCTAACATTTTTGTATTAATATGTTATAGATTGATGGAAGTGAAGACATTTTGTTTTCTTCTTGCAGATTCTGGTCTTTTTGGTGTTCCATTGACAGTATTGTTAGAACAAGATCAGAGGAAAGTACCAGGAACTCGAATACCCCTGATCTTTCAAAAAGTAAGTAGGTCTGAACTGGTCAGAGTAGATAGAACATACTTGCTTTGCTAGTGGTTTGTTGCATTCATGTTATTATAATATAGTTTTCCAATTGATATCCTCCTTTATTTTGTACTTTGATTTTTCTATTCAGGAAGCGAATTTGTTCCAAGGGCTCATAATTTTTATTTCATGGTGATGCTTTCTGTGTTATTACTGTAACTGTGATTACCTGGCATCATTTTCCTGTCTTATATTAGCTGGCTTTGTATAATTGAGATTTCAATTCTATAACACATAGGAGTGGGAACTGCTTATAAATTTCTAGGGATTTGAGTCCTCATGAATATTTCATGCCTGTATGTATTTCCTAAGCTTTCCTATTTACAGTGAGGATGTCCAATTTAATTTACCAGTGCCTATTTACAAAGTAGGCAAAGAAACCATAAAGTAGAATTAGAAAATGATTGCTAAACTATTAAGTCACTTGTGTAGTCAACACTCAATTATTCATAAGGGGATTATCTGTGGCAATATAAAAATTTCCATCCAAGCTCTGAGCCATCATTGTTCAGCATCACAGATTACATTTGATAAAAGCTAAGGAATGCACAGTGAGGAAGGCAGGTCATATCAGGTATGGACTTACCCACGCTGTAGATTCTTTCCTACAGCCCAGGCATATGGCAGTTTCTGAAGTTTCTGGGGACAGCAGAAATTGATTTGCAGTTAATTGGCTCAGCAAACTCATCCAATACTAAGATTCAGTCTACTTGGCAATTATTCTTCCCCTATTCCAAACCAGTCATTTCCCTGTCTTCCCTACTAACCTTTGTGGCCTTCATTCCTCATCTCCACCACTACATTCAAACCTGGATCTCATTGTTCCTCCTGACAAACTTTCTAAACAGTTTATCCCACTCATCAGCCTCTGCCAGCCACTGCCTGTGGAACCTGTGTCTGTATGGGGAGTTGTCAAGAGTACCTGTGATTAACAGCAAGAGGCTACAAAATATAGGCTACATATTCAAATCCTTTTGTCAATAAAAGGTGCAAGTTACCATACACAGCTGGCCATACAAAGCAGAGATCTCAGCAGCATCTTTTCTCAGGGGTATTAGCCAAGGTTCTCCAGAGAAACAGAACAAATATTAAAATATATGTAGAGAGAGGAGAGATTTATTTTAAAGAATTGGCTCATGCCACGGTAGAGGCAGGCAAGTCTGAAACATGTAGAGCAGCTGGCAGGCTGGAAACTCAGGCAAGAGTTGATGCCACAGTCTTGAGTCCAAAGTCTGCAGGCTGGAAACTTAGGCAGGGCTTCTATGTTGCAGTCTTGAAGCAGAATTGCTGCTGCTTTGGGAAATCTCCATCTTTTAGGCCTTCAACTAATTGGATGAGGCCCACCATGTCATAAAGAGTAATTTGCTTTACTCAAAGTCTACTTATTTAAGGGTTAAATAAGTCTTAAAAAATAGTCATTGAAACCTACCTAGACTGCTGTTGGACTGCACAACTGGGCACCATACATAGCCCAGCTAAGGTGACACACAGATTTCACCATCACACCACAGAAGTACAGCCAGGCTGAGGATTATATCTAGTCCATTAAGATAAATCTCCTTTGGTCACTTTCTCTTGAAACTTTTTCTTATTCATTTAATTATTTTACACTTTTGGTCTCTTCAGCATTCTCTGGAGACTCTGGCTGCCTACCAATTTGAAGTATTACATTACAGCACTAACGTGTTTTTGTATACATATAAAAATAAAGGGGAATAAAAAGAATCGACTTGCAGATAATGCTTACCTGGTTTGAGGCAATGGATATTCCAACAATCCTGATTTGATTATTATATGCTGTATACATGTATCAAAATATCACATGTACGCCAAAATATGTACAACTATGATAAAGCAATTTCAAAAATCTGTTTACATTGCCCCTGAATTTTAAGCAAAATTCAGTGATCTATTATGAAAAATATTTTTTGATTTTCCAGCTGACAATTCAGTTAGATCTTCTCTCAATTTTGTAAAAAGGAAAGAATTGGAAACTGCTGATTTGCAAAAAGATTCATTACCAGTCTTTAAAGGATTATACTTTAATATTTGAGGATGTATGTTCAAAAGGAGCACTAATAAAGTTTACATAATGTTTGTGAACTGTATCTGTTTTGTTTTTTTTTTTTTTGCTCAGAGACACTTTTTTAGACCATATCCTCAGAAAGGGTTGGGGAATTGTTAATTTTAATCTATGAAAAAGTTTGCCTTAAAACCTAATTAGCAAATCCATTGTTCTCACAGTCATACTAATCAGTGAAATCAACTATACTTTGTGTCAAAAAGTCTGACTTCATTTTCATTTCATTTTCCAAGTCACATAAGTATGTAATATATATTTTGAGAAATGCTATGAAAATTACAGAACATATCTTGTAAGATAAATTAGGAAAACCAGGATGATTAAAATATATAGATCAATATGATTTTTTCCATCTCTATTTTGTCTTGAAAATAAAAGGAAAGCTATAAAGTATTTCTTATTATTTATATTTTAATAATGTAATACGTGATAACTAAAAATGTTATTTTCAATATGAGCAAACACACAGCATTCCTTCAGACAATATGTATACATAATTCTATTGGATGCCAGTATTCAGCCTCAGAGAATAATAAAAAGGGCTCAAATATAAAATTGCAGAAATTACTCTCATTCAGTTATATAGAAGTCACAATCAATTTTTCCTGTGTGTTTAGTGAAAGTGAAAGGCATATATTGCTAAAAACTAGTTCGCTCCAGCAGCTAGCATATAATTTTATTTTTTGTTAATAGGACATAGAAGCATTTTAAATATTTTATAAGATGAAATAAAGTGAAAATTGGCTATCCATTGAATGTTTCTTAAATCTGGTTTTAAGTAGCTTATTAATAATGTCCATCTAATCTAAAATAATTCATGTAAAATTTTTTGCTGTGGGTTTTTATTCAGTGTCACTTGAAAAATCTGGTCTTAGAAAATATTCCAGTTGAATTTTAAAAAATCGTGTGGTGCTTTGACAGGTCTGAGATGTCTCTATTTTCCTAATAATAAATCCTTAGGAGAGTTTTTAGACCATTCTTTGCTTAATTCTTACCTGACTCCCTCAATATCAGTGCATTTGGCCATAATCCAAACCAGGGATGGAGGAGGTGAGGTCATTAAAGAAAAAATTGCCATCTCTTCCAGTGTCCACATGCTATAATATATCTGATTTCAGAACATCTAGACAAAGGTCAAAAGACTGCGTTTATGATACTGTGCTTTGCTCCTAACAGAAACTTTTATATGCCAGGGAAAAACAGTAAGCTTGATGTAGTTTATAGAGCCTTGGCTAATCATTAAAAAAGGCTTCCCTGAAAAAAAATTTTTTTACATTCTTTTGGCACTCTGGAAGATTTTATACCTTAGGGTGTGCAGAGAATATTATAGTATGGTTTTGGTGAGTGAGAAATAGGTCTGTGTTTTATAAAGCAGGAGAAGGCTGCTGTGAATGGGAAGTGGGTGGTAGGAAAGAAAACCTACATGATGCTAGGACATGCCTTACGTTTAAACTGAGAACGTGAAAATTGATTTCCTTAAAATAGAATACTTTCTGTAAATTTGTGTACTGCTCAGGGAATGTGTATTCCAATTGGAAGATCACTCTGCCAGGAAACTGACCACTCTTCTATCTTCTTCTTAGCTTCTAACAGTTTGTCGTTGTAATTTCTCCATTTGCCTTATTTTTGTGGATTTCTGCCTTATTTTTAAAAAATAACTTTTTGATGGGGTTCTGGAGATACAGGGATCTGTATGTATTCATTGGGCACCAGCTGTGATTTAGAAGCTATATCCAAGAACATTTTCTTTAAGTTTACCACTGAAGGCTTAAACATGAATATTTGCAAACAGTTTTCTTTCTTCATATCATAAAATTATTCTTTCTTGGAATAAACCAAAAATGAGATGTAAATATGCAGATACTAGAATTTCATAAGATCTATTTGATTGCAGAATTTGTGGAAATGTAAAAGGGATCTTCTTAACTGCTTTTAAACAATAAACATCTTCATTCCCTGTTTGGAGTACCACAGCTGTTATGTGAATTTATACCCTTCTGTTTCAAAGTAGAATAAGACCCAACTTTTTCTAAATCATAACTAAAGTTTTTGGATTTATTGTTTTAAAGGATAGTGGTAAGTGCAACAGCATCTCAACCTCATAAAATCCAGCATACATATTGTAATCGTTTTCATTTATTTATATGTGAAACAGATGCTAAATTTGGATTGTACCTGTTACAAATATCAAAATCAGAATGTTTTTCTGTTTATACACAGCTGATTTCTCGAATTGAAGAGGGAGGTTTGGGAACCGAAGGCCTCTTACGAATACCTGGAGCTGCTATGAGAATCAAGGTACCCGCTCGGTTCTTCCAATGTGAACATTTTATTGTGTAATTAGACTTTTGCATTTTGAAAGCTAACTTGTCCTTGCTACCCTTGATTTCCATTGTTAGTAGAGTAGATAAGATAAAACAATAAAATCTCTTAGCATTCATTTTATATTAGTTTTTCTGCAGTTACTTCTGGGTTTTTTTGGTAAATTTGGTTTTGTGGGGTTTTTTTTCAAAATCACCATATTACCTGTACTAATAATATGATTAGAGAATATAATGAGTCAAAATATTAATGGGGGGCTGGTAATAGATTTATTCAGGATGAATAATAACAATTGAATTTTGGGGTTGTTTTTACTCTTTTTTAACGCAGGAACGTAGACGTTAGCAGGTGAGCAGATTAGGGGCCTTGACCAATAGCACAGGGTAGTCTGAGTCTGGCTGGTGAAAGAAGTGAGGGATTCCCAGACATCCCAGTATGAGCACCTCTTTCCCCCTTCCCCTTCTTCTCTTTCTGGATGGCATTTCCTTCCTGCTACCCGGAGTTTCATCTTTGCCCCCAAGTCTTACAGTGGAGAAAGTAAAACTTCCATGAATGCCCGATAAAGATGGAATTCCCCTGAAGGGAGAGACTTGCTACATTTGTCTCCCAGGGGATTTGCACTTTAAAGGGGACTCACAATTGGAATTGCCGCTCTATCTGGAAAATTTATCTAGAAAAAGTTTTCAGTCAGCAGTCATTATCTTTTTTTACCCTGTCTTCCAAATTGAGCTTTAGCTCTCCACTGAGATAGCACAAGTAACTGCCTATATCCAATCTATTGGCTTCCTGAATTTGAAAATCCAAGAGAAAATAGGTTAGGGGGAGACGATATTCCCTGTACATTTCCTTAAGGTCTTTTCTACATGAGATCTTTAGAGCTGGATCAGGATGGAGTGATTGTTGGTGGGTGCACACTGTTCTTGCCTGTGACTAATGGACTGTGGTGCTGCCAGGATTGGAATTATTCTTCTTCAGACATTCCATGATTTGCATCACCTGCTTATTTTGATTAGTTTCCTTAATCTAGGACACTAGTTTCGGCCTCTTTGGCTCTTGCTATTAAATACATAGTGATCTCATTCTAATAGGATTCTAGTAAACTGATATACGCTGCTCACAGATTTCCGCCTGTGTCCCCTGGGTTTGGTGTCTGGTACGTAGAGGTCCCTGCAACTGTATTTGTGTGTTTGTAGGTTTGATAACCTGCCATTGTCTCACTTCATGTGCTGACGCTGATGGCGTGTTCATCACCAGTCAGTCACGGACAATGTGTGTGTGATTCTGAAGTAAATTCTATTGAGAATTACATTCTCTTCAAAGAAATAATCCCTCAGAAACACGTAGCGTAATATCATATTACCCATATCGGCAAGAATAGTGCTGCTCTGTTCACTGTTTGAAGCCCTCACTTGGGCCCTCACAAGCAGAGCACAATGGCAGCTCACAGGAGCCTACGACACACGTTTACTTTGGTACAGAATAGTGAATATAATGCAGATTTTACTTTGTGATGAGAAGGCTGGCAGAAGGACAAGTTTAACTAAGTGTAATTTCTAAGAAGGCCAATTAAGTGGATTCAGCTGGCTCAACTCTTCAACCCAGCGTGTTGTCATATGCCAAATTATGCAGCAGCTGGTCCATTATAAATAATTTAAAAGATAACGTGCAAAAATTTTGGTTGTCTCTTTTCTCTCATGCCCCACCAAATTTCTTTGTACTCTTCCCTCTCCTTCCTTCCCCCCTTCTCTGTCCATCTCCTTCTGTTGTCCTTCCCTGCCTGCCTCTTTCTTCCTTCACTCTCTCCCTGTATCCCACTCCCTTTTTCTCTCTTTCCCTCTCTGCCTTCTATTTCTCCCTCCCTCCCTGTCTCTCAATCTCTCCTTTTCTCCCTCTTTTCTTCCCTCCCTCCCCCCCCACTCCCCATTTCTAGGTTTACTTCCAGGTAACTCACCAATTACAACAATAATTGGGGTGGAGGATAGGGGTAGTGTTGGGAAAAGAAAATGTGCTAATTCACCTTACAAGAAAAACAAAGAACATTCTTTGAGAGAATAGTTTCACATGACAGGAGGAAGTGACAGAAACTTGGAAGGATTTCTAACACGATAGGATTTATGTATGTCACAGTAAGGAAGCATACAGAAAATAGTAATTATGAAACTAAATTGATTTATTAGTAATAATTTGCCTGGCAAATTTTGTAGAGTCCTTGAGGTAAATGAAGTCGGTATTTCTAATTCTACATGGACTCATGTAGCTGGCAGCAGGATGGCTGTGCATGTAAGACAGGTATATTGATGTATTTTCATGCCTCATTTGCTATAGAATTGGGTTTTCCATTTCCCAGAGGTGACTAATCAGAGGTAGCTTTCTGGTTTTGGCACAGGGATTGATTATGTATTTTGTTACATAATATACTTCTAAATAATTTAAAACATAGGCTTGTTTTTTTTTTAATGATTTTTTTTCTTAATTTAATGAAGATTTATAGTATCTAGGTAAAGCCCCCAAAGGAAAAGATTATTTTAACCAATCTTTTAATTAAATCTTTGCTACTAAAGGTTTGTTAAGTGTCCAGGAAAAAGCATACATTAAAAAAATTTTTTTTGGCCTGTGATATTTTTTATTGGTAAAATACAATAGGTGTTGAGGGAGTATTTTTTTCTGAGTAACAGAGTATTATTGACTTTTGGTACTTTGATATGTCTTTTCTAAAGAGTAGAATCTCTTGTAAAGTGGAAAATGTATCACACTCTCAGCAGGGGGGGAAAATGCTCTTACTGATAGCTTCCCCTACCCCCCACCCCATGCCTTTCAGAATCTTTGCCAAGAACTAGAAGCAAAGTTTTATGAAGGGACTTTTAATTGGGAAAGTGTCAAACAGCACGACGCAGCCAGCCTGCTGAAGTTGTTCATCCGGAACCTGCCCCAGCCATTGCTCAGTGTGGAGTATCTCAAAGCCTTCCAGGCTGTCCAGAGTAAGTGCTATTCCTCTTTGAAGCAGTCCTTGTGCTGGTGCCATTCATATCAATTGTTTTAATGACATTGGCCTTACGAAGAACATAGCCAGATGTATTTGGATAGCCATGTTGACCTGCTGATGTCAGCTGGTGCTCAAAGGCCATGCACTGTTTTCTTTTTCTCTTATAAACATGCATCTCTGAATAAATAGATAACAGAATGTTCTCTTCACATATAGATTAATTGCATGGCATTTAAGAAACACAATGCATTATAGTGTTAAAACCTGGAAACTTCACGTCTCTCTTATAATAGAATGAGTCACATAAGATCTCTGATACAGTTTCTTTGCCAAGTGTTAAAAGCAACACTTACTGGAGAAGCTGTGGATTAACAGTTATCATAAAAGCACAAGGAGACATGGTCGAGTCTGTGAGCATTTCCTGAAAAATTAAATTCTGAGATTGTCATGCAGAAACATGGAACAAAGCATTTTGCTGCCTCATTGGTAGAAGGTCACAAACTTTTTATGTCTTGCCATTTGGTGGTCTTGGGCAAGCTCCAAATTAACGTCTCTGATCATTCTTGATTCTTTTTCCAGTGAACACAGAAATCTTATAAGGTTTATGTACTGCTATAGCTATCCCTTTTACTCCTAGAGGCCATCAAAAAAGGTAAAATGCCAGCATCACATTCAAGTAACCATATCTTTAATTTCCCAGCCGGAACACTTTTGAGAGTGAAAGAGGGGCTCTATTATATGATTATGGTGAACTACAGTGTCAACCAGAACTGTTCCAGGCTATTCTTAAAGCATGCAATATTGAGATGATTTCATAAGTCACCTAGTATCATCACATTTCTTCAGAATTTCTAGTAGAGAGATGACTGAAATCATCTTCTGTTTAAAGTATTTTTTTTAAACAGATTTCTTTTTTAAACAGAAGAAATAATCTTCTTTTAAAAATATTTTTTAGTAGTTAAATTGTGCTTTTTTTGTCTACGTTTCCTGGATGTAGATTAAAGAACCAAACTTATCACTAAAAATGAAATACTGGAATGATTCCAAGTATCTACAAATATTACTTAAATGGGGTAAGGGCTACTGAAAATGACAGTATTCATGATAACAGTGTACCTCTTAGACCTTTCTGTAATTGCTCTTTGGTGTTCTCATTTATTGAACACCTATTGTGTTCCAGGCCCTGTTCTACACATTCCTGTTGGAATTCATGGACTCTCGCCTTACATTTTTTCACCCACCATTAAAAGAAAGAAACCTGGTTGTTACAGATATGCCCCCTGATATCCTATCATGGAAGGTCCAGTCTTTTATGTCTTTTCATTGGAGAGTAATTATCACACACAAGTTAAAATTATTTCCAAAGCACTGTTGTGTATCTGCAAACATAAGGCCGCTCGTCGTATGATCACAGTTGGAAGTGAGCATTCTGAGAGAGAGGAAGCTCTTAGCAGCTGCTTCTGAGGATCTCCCACAAACACACTCTCAACAAGGCTTGCTGCTCAGTCGTTGTGTCTTACATTTTACAGCAATGTTTATGCCAAATAACTTTTTTTCTTAAAAAATGAAGAAAGAAAGTAAAGGAAAAATGTTCAGTAAAGAGTTCAGATTTATTTAATCTGTCTGCAGATCTTGCAACCAAGAAGCAACAACTACAGGCTTTGAACCTTCTTGTCATCCTCCTACCTGATGCAAACAGGGACACGCTGAAGGTCAGCTCAGTTAATTTACATTAAATATCCCTGAGAACCAAGCAGAGTAATTTTCTCTATTTGTGGCAAAACAATATAATGTTTGTCTTGGGAATATTAATAAACGTCTATAAAGAAAAAGCTTACTTTTAAGAACAGAGAGTGAAGGCGAGTTTTTCATTCCTTATTGATTTATTTATTGGGTTGTTATTACTGAGTTTTTTCTGTGTTTTAGATTTTTACTATAGCATTTCTTCTTTTAAAGCAGATGATTGGGGTTTGTTGGTTAATGGAAACATGGTTGCTTTTTAACTTTCTTCTATTTTTCTGCATATTCCAAATTTTATTTAATCAACATGCGTTAGTAAGGTGGAATATAAATGTCTAAACCAAAAATCCAAAGACTCATTAAATGTAACCCACTGCTGCCTAAAGTTATTACAGTTGTCTGTAGTTCAAAGTGGTAGAGTTTGAAATAAGTCATAATGGTGATTTGAAATGTTTGTTAGTCGAAAGATAGACCAACTCAGACAAATTCCAGTTATTTCTCTAAGGGCTTATCCTGAGTTTTGGATTTATATCATTTTGGAGTGATTTGGTCTAATATTTATATGATTTAATACTGTTTATTGTAGGTGTTGTCAGAGGTTCTCAAAATCAGTGGATTGTTGCATGCTGATTTATTTTTCTTAATGACAGGAGTTTATAGACTAGTTGTATAGGTTTATAAACTTTTATAAAACAAAAAGTAAAACAATAATTTAGAAAAGTATTTATCTTACGTTTTGCCATTGCCTTAAAACATTTTTTTTAAAAATAGGTAGGGTGGGGCCCTTACCTCTTTACCCACCACATATTTTCTATTTAAATTGAAATCTCATGGCAAGACATTTCAAGTCAAGAAAACAAAACCACCAATTGGTAAATCTTGGAAAGTTTTTCCTGCAACTCATTAAAACTCTTTGAATTGTAACTACATGAGTGATAGTTCTTTGCCCATGGAATGAATATTAATACTCAACTTTTCTGGATGAAGCAGCTTATGAGGATTACTGGAAGCAAAGTGCCACCTCCACTACAGGAGGTGAACTTCCAAAGAATTATTCCCTTTACTAAGTCAGAAAACAATCTGTTGCTTCACTGGTTGTCAAATGAATAACCCAGAAGGCAGCACTGCGTTTTGTTTTGATTTGTTTTTGAGACAAAGGCCAATTCCAGAAAGAGTTGCGTTCAGACGTTGTCTGACCCAGGGCTCTGTGTAAGGTTGTATAGATTGTGGCTGAAACAGGGACACGTGGCCCAGAGGACAAGTGAGGCTGATCATCCAACCTATTCTCTGCTTGCCAGCCTTGACCTCAACAGGAGGGCTTCAACTACCCCGAAAGAGGCAGGAATATCTTTTTCTTACTCACGTAAAGGTTCTTGTTTGGGTGAAAGCCCTGTGAATGAGCAGTGTAAAGTAGGAATTGAAAGATTCGTCATTTACTTAAAATATACCTGTCTTCAGATGGCTGTCCATCGTTGTAAGAGGAAACATTTATTCCAATATGGTTGCTATTGGGCCAGACTGGTCTAGAACTCTTCTTTGGACTTTGCCTCTAAGTCCCAGGCATGTTCTTTTAAAAAAAAGTTTAAAAATATATTTTTAATTTTTTTTTTTGAGACAGAGTCTCACTCGGTCACCCGGACTAGAGTGCTGTGGCATCAGCCTAGCTCACAGTAACCTCAAACCCTGGGCTCAAGCCATCCTCCTGCCTCAGTCTCCCCAGTAGCTGTGACTACAGGCATGCGCCACCATGCCCGGCTAATTTTTCTCTCTCTCTCTCTCTATATATATATTTAGTTGTCCATATAATTTCTTTCTATGTTTTTAGTAGAGACAGGGTCTCGCTCTTGCTCAAGCTGGTTTCGAACTCCTGACCTTGAGCCATCCACCTGCCTCAGCCTCCCAGAGTGCTAGGATTATAGGCATGAGCCACTGCGCCCGGCCTATTTTTAAAATTTTACAGTATTTTTTTGCATGTGATGTTATTGGAAGCATAATTTTATAATTAAGGGGGGAAATACTTTTTTTTTTCCTAGTCAAAAACTGGGAGATGCAAACAAGTAATTTTACTTAAGCTTTAGTGACGTAATTAGCCAGCTCTGATGAAGGCCTCAAACAAGAATTTTAATAATAGAAACATTGTAACAAGAATGCCATATGTACAAAGAATAAGTCTTAAATTTAGTTCTGTAAAAGAGAAGGGAAACTCCATCGTAATGTAATTTTAGGAAGCCTAACGCAGAGTTCTCCAATTTATCCAGTGCTAGCACCACTCCCTTCGGTTGCCATGTGGGGGGACAGAGTCATATGTTTTACTTGTGTAGAATATTCCTATGGCAAGCCCAAGTGAGATGTAGGAGGCACCACGATAAATACCACGTCCCGGCTTAAGGGGAAAGTGACAGGTGTCTTTGGGCAAACTGCTTAACCAGAATTATTTTTCACTTTGGATTCTTGTGCTTTTGAACCACTGATGATACCTACCTTTGACTTGGAGAAATAATGAAGACTGGTTTTAAGATATCAAGAGAAGATCCATGTTAATGTAATTACTGACATTTATCCTTCTTGTAGTTTTAAGTAGTTCATTATATACATTGTCTCAGACTTTGCAGGCTAGATTAGTATTCCCATTTTACAAAGGAGAAAACTTTAAAGAACAAAGGTATGAAAAGATTTACCCTAAGATCACACATAGCTAATGAGTAACTGACTATACTGGGAGTCAAGCCTGGATTTTCCATTGGGTCCAGTGATATGTCTACACCACCGGGCTGGCTGGTGATAAAGTAAACACTTTTTTTTTTTTAAAAGGAGAAGTTCTTACAGTTCAGATGAAGAGAAAATAATGCAGTTCTTTCAGCAAGGGCTAGGCTAGCATCTTATTAATTTTGTATCAACTCTCTCTCTGTTGCTCTATATTCTGATAGTAATATTTTGAATAACCTTATTGCATATGCACACCCTAATAAAAATGGTTTATTACCTAATCTCTGTAATTTATGCTCATAAAGAAAGAGATACACTGGTCCCTGAACAATTATTTTGGTCTCTGTGGAACAAAATTAAATATTTTTTTTCAAACTTCACCAATTAATCTTTTGTCCTCATTTGAGAACGTGTTGTTTTTATATAACTTTATGCTTGGATTACAATTTAACTTTCTGAGCACTGTACCAGAAATTAGATACATAAATCTCATTGTTAGATATTAAGGCTCTGTCTTTAGTTTTGTTTCAAATTTTCCAGGTCTATGTAGCAGCTAAATTTGATTCAAGAGCAACCTGTTAACACTTAGAGGAATTTTCCTTTTCCTGAAATTCTTTGAAAGATAGATGCTGTTGGATTTTCCTTTTTTCTATTTTGGTGTAGTATATTTGGCCTTTTCAGGTTGGATTTTTAAAATAAGAAAACATGATTGTTATGGTAGTAAATGAGTTTAGAAACGAAAGCCATATAGACCTGCAGTTAAATTCCTTTCCCACCATTTGCTAGCTCTGTGACCTCCAATGAGTTACTTACCTTCTTTAAAACATTGTTTTCTCATCTGTAAAATGGGGTAATTATAGCATCTGCCTCCAGTAAGGATTAAGTAAAATAATCTCTATAACGTGCTTAAGACACTATCTCACCCATTGAGAACATTGAATACCTGTGCAGTTTTTGTTATTGTTCTAGACTAAATTAATTTAAGTAAGAAGGCAAAAGAGGAACTTGACACCTTAAGCCCTTTCAGAGTAGGGTGCCTGTGGCTTCTGCGGAGGGTGGCCTCAGAGGTGGATGAGTATCCGCCACAGAGGTGGAGGCAGGTGGCATCTACCAGAGCATAATTGAGCCTGTTCTGATAAAAAGTGCTTTTTCATTCATTCCTTCATACATTTTTTTAAAAAGTCTTTTCTCTTTGGTCTCTCCTCATTTATCCTCCCTCCCTATAATAATATCCGTTAAAAAAAATTTTTTTTTAAATTTATTGTTGTTACAAATTTTTTATAGAGGTGGGGTCTCACATGTTGTCCAAGCTGGCCTCGAACTTCTGGGCTCAAGCGATCCTCCTGCCTCAGCCTCCTGAGTCCTGGGGATTACAGGTGCACGCAATTGCACTGGCTCATTCTTTTTAGGTTCCATGCCAGTCAACTATTGAGTGCCTTAAGCAAATGAAATGGAGGTAAAATGAGTCTTTTTATGGGGATTCTTTTTTCTTTCTTTAAACTCCACAGAGAAAAGTACAGTACTTTCTGAAAAGTGCAGTATGTCCTGAGAAAAGTACAAATGTACAATATGTTTGTATGATATTATTTTAAACTGCTTTTCAGTGCTCCATGGCTCCTGTAGGCCAGAGGTCTGACATCTGACACTGCTCCATTCCTCTCCCTACAACCTAGTTGAGGTGTGTGCCCGTTCTGCTTCGTGCCCCAGTCCTGTGGTCCTTAGCGGAAGCAAAGCACCATCTCAGGGTGCGTCAGCCAAATGGAGAAACTTTGATAACAAGTCCTGTGGGTTGTAGCTAGCCAACTGTGGTTATGCACAACTTAGTGTTTTTAAATGAAATACAAATTCTCTGTGCTACAGTGCTTTAATCTCTTATCTTCCTGTACAACGCAAATCTCAAAGAGTCATTTCTGTTTCAGGCCCTGCTTGAATTTCTCCAAAGAGTAGTAGATAATAAAGAGAAGAATAAAATGAATGTCAAGAACGTAGCCATGGTCATGGCCCCTAATCTCTTTATGTGTCATGCATTGGGTTTGAAGTCCAGTGAACAGCGAGAATTTGTAATGGCCACTGGAACAGCAAATATCATACACTTGTTGATTAGGTATCAAAAACTTCTGTGGACAGTAAGTATGTGTTTTTAAACTCTGAACGATCCTGTAATTTCTTAACATAATTGTTTATAATGATTTTCAATATAATTTTATAAATCTGGTTTAAAAAATGTAATGTACTTTTTTTCTTAATGATTTAGAAAACACATTGCATGTCTATTACCAGGTTTATTAAATTGCATTTAAAATTTGTGAGTGTAGAAATATTAAGGGTGTTTTATTCACATAGGTAAGGTAGGGCCTATAAATTTCTATTTTAAAATCATGAAATTATGTCACGAAAACATGCCTTGTAAGAAGTACTCCTTATTTATTTACTTTTCTCCATTTTTTCTTTTCTCAATATTTTGGTCTGTTGTCTTTTTAAAAGCTCATGCAGTCTTGGCGTCAGATCATTCACAATTATTTTTCATAGACGCTTTATTTAAAGAGATACATACATTTTGTAATCTGATTGCTGACAATGGTGCCTTCTGTTTTACCCTTATTTTGAGCTTGAGTTTTGACAGATAATCAGAATGTTGTGGTGGATGAGAGGCTTAGTTGATTAAGTTCTCAGTTTCCAGTGGAATTTATGATTTTGCAAAGAGGCATTCTATAGGCATTTAGAAAAATGACCTAAAGAAATTCCAAGCAAAATTATAACATTAACTATTTTAATGTCTTATTTGAAGAACCTCCAAATATTAATTTGTTAAAAAGAGCGATCATATCTAGATTCTGAAGTCTTTATTTTTATATCCTATAGAAAGGCAACTGATGTAGATGATTTCAAATGCAGGGTTGTTTTGTTTTTTTTTTTAAATTAATGTCCATTTATTAAATCTCTATTTTCGAAATGCCAGCTTATTTCATGGTTCCATTTTGGCAACTTAAAATATTTTGTTATTGCTAGTGTGATTTCTGAGGATAAATTTTCCCTGGATTCTTGCCTAGCTAGCTGTCAGCTCCTGTTTCTTGGGGAGTTGTTCTTCCTTGTGTGGCAGCAGAGGGGGGCTGGTTATTAGAAAGGGGCTGCAGGTTAGCTAGCAGGGCTGTGGATAGGTGGCTGCTAAAGGGACAACCTGCCGAGGTGGTGGCCTCTGCTGCCAGTCACCTCAGGGAGTCTCCAGTCTGGACATCCGTGGCGTGGAAGATGGCCACTGTGTCCTTGAACTTCACAAAGCCTCTTTTGGAACCATACACAATGGGTGGTCAGTTACATCACGTGGGTGCTCCGTACACCTGCTAAATGGATAATATGCATTTTCTTTTCACAGATTTAATGAATAGTGCATGTAAAGTGGCAGTCTTATCAAAAAGGCAAACGCTTTCCTCTTCTTGAAATTTCAGAAATAAAGATAATTATTCCTGGAGTTTAAAATGATGCCATTTATTTTTCCCTCCCCAAACTTAATTTTTTTTTTTCTCTGTAGATTCCCAAGTTTATTGTCAACCAGGTGAGGAAGCAAAACACTGAAAATCATAGAAAGGATAAAAAGGCCATGAAGAAACTGCTGAAGAAAATGGCTTATGACCGAGAAAAATATGAAAAGCAAGATAAGAATACAAATGATGTAAGAAAATTTTGGAGATATGTATTTATTCAGACTTTAGTATTTTTTTTAATGTCCCCCAGAATTTTTTGTATGCTTTTACGGTATGACTTTCTAGCACTTTCTAGACGATGGTACTACTTGTAAGTGAAGGACATCAATAACAATAACAAGAACAATCTCAATAACAGTCTCTATTACTGGTAATGATCAGTATTAACAGTTGGCTAGGTATTGGTGACTCAGTATGTGAGTTGTTAATGGGGAACAAAGGAAGATAGCAAGACAGAACTGTCTGAACACACACACACACACACACACACACACACACACACACACACACACAAGACTTCTGCAGAGACTCTAGTTGCCCACTGAATGTGTAATTTATAGTGAGTAAAGAATTCCTTGTGTGTGAACCATTGATCTTTTTCTTAAATTTTCTTATCTGTAAAATGGGCAAAAAATAACTAACCCAGATAGGCAAACAGGCTAATGTTTGTGTGTGCCTAGGATCATTCCTGGACTTCAATAAATATTTGAAGGTTCTTAATTGGATCAGAAGGATTTAGGGAGAGTTATGTTAGGAAAAAGAAAATTAAGATGTTTCAAAAAAGAAATATCTAAATATCAGTTTTTACAAACTACTGTAAGAATGTATTAAGAACTGGATTTACAGTAATGAAATACACATGCAAACACATTTAGGAAGTGTAAGATCCTGAAATAAAAGGGTTTCTATTGTTCTGTTTAAGTGAATACACCCCCTCCCCACCACCACCACTGTTGAAGTTGTTCAGTTACATGCTGACATCTTGTGGAATCATGTGAAAATGCAGTTATCAGCCTTTGTCTGATATTTCTGCTTTAGCTTGCTTCAGGATCCTGTAATTATAAAAATAATTTTTTCTCCTGTATTTATTATTTCCACTCTTAAAAAGAAAATACTTTCTTGGCATTATAAAACTTTAAATCGATTTTAAAGTATCTTTAAAAAACAAGATTTAATAAAGGGAAATTGTAAATTTATATTTTTTGAGAAAGGGCTTACTATTATGTGGCTAGAAAAGATATTTTTTGTTAACTTTAGAATGTTCTAGCACCTCTTAAACCCTTGTAAATATGTGAATATCGTCTGTTTTAGAGCCCCTCTTATTCAGATTAACTTGTGACTTTATAGCCTTATCTTTTTTTTTATAAGCCATTTATCCATGGTACTCTGAAGGTCAGTATCTATTCAAAGAGCCATTTGTAGTGTACATGTTTATTAATCTTTAGATAAAAATTAAAAGGTTACTTTTTGGAGAATGGAATATTGAAGTACTTTTGTCATTTACAAAAAAACCAGCATTAACTTGGATTTCTTTAGTTTGTGCCTTGGGTTAATTAGGCATAAGCTGGTCTGAGAATTATCTCTGCACTATTTTAGAAAGGGCGTGGCTTAGAGATGCCAGAGGTGTGTGAGTGGGGCCTGGCCAGGGTACCGTGGGCCACGACACAGGAAGTGGGCGTCGAGACGCCTCACTGGGGAGTGAAGCTGAAATGTGAGAAACAAGTCCGCGCTATTCGGGTATCCCTAGAGGAGAGAGATCTAACCTAACCTGCAGGGGAAGCTTGTCGACATCACAGCCCACAGTGGAGGCCCATTTGTCCTGTCATTTTGGTTAAAACATTTTGAATCAATTTCCAGAATTTTGTTTTCAAGTTGTTGTCATTTTGTTAGGGAGAATAAATATACGTACATAAATATACATTGAAAACAATTACAGAACAGCAAATAAAAGTTCAAGATAAGTTCAAATGCTGTGCATATGTGGTAGTAACCAGTTTTTTGCCTGTTGCCTGTTGCTTACATCTGACAACTGCCAGATCTCTAAAACTAGAAGATTAAATGTAAGAGCTTGGACCACCATCTTAATGACAAATGGATATAGGTGCATCCCTTATGCCCTGGCAATAGGAGGGCTACTTTCCAGCCAGGTAACAATCCTGTTCCCTTTGGCTGGAGCATGGGCCATAGGCCATCTGACTTGCTATAAGCCATTCACCCTACTTCATTCTGCCTTATTGCTTTACCTTCTTGACCCTTGGATATGCAGCATGAAATGTAGGGCATGAAACTGCGTGGGATCTTTTATTCACTTGATAAACAGTTACTTGATTCGTGCCTACTGTGTGCCAGGGATTGTTCTTCAGCACCTGAAATACATTATTGAACAAAACATACAAAGATCGCTGTTCTTCTAGAGCTTAAATTCTACAAATAAAAATAAATATAGGAAGTAAATTACATAGAGTGTTAGTGTTTGGTCGGTGGTCTAAAAGTAATAAAAGCAGAGCAGAAAAGGGGGAATTGAGAGGAGGAACCTCTTGCACTATGAGGTTGGGTAGTCTTGGGTATCATTCGTTCCAGCGAAGATAGGAAGGAGGGCAGGGAGTTGAGCAGTGTGTACATCTCAGGAAGCTCATTCCAGGCAGAAAGAATAGTGTGTGCAAAAGCCTTAAGGCAGGAACTTGCTCAGGGTATTTGAGGATTAGCAAAGAGTGAATGTGGCTGGAGTGAAGCCACAAGGGGAAGGCAGTGTGAGATGAGGTCAGAGGGCCAATGGGACCAAATCACGTAGGGCCTTGTGGATCATCTATAGGAATCTGGATTTACCCTGAGTGACATGGGGGTTCGAAACAAAGGCTTGAAAACCTATACCATGTTTTACAGTGATCCCTTTGGCTATTGTGTTGAGAATAGACTACAGGAGAGCAAAGATAGAAATAGGGAGACTATTTAGGAGGTTCTTACAATGCAGGTGAGAAATGATGGTGGCTCAGACCAGGATGTCAGCATTGGAAGTAGAGAAGTGGTTGCATTCTGGGTAATTTTTTTTTCAAGTTAGAGCCATTGGGATTTCTTGATGGAAAAGATGTGAGTTGTAAGAGAAATAAAGAAGTCAAAAGTGGTTTTTGGCCTGAGAATTGGAAGGATGGAATTGCCAGATAGGGAAGGTCACGATTTCAATTTGGGGCCTATTGAGTGTGAGATATCTATTAGACCTCTAAGGGGAGATATTTGAGGGTGTTTGGAGGGAAAATCAGGTCATACTGACCCGCCTGTGAGGTGTGTAGAGAGACAGGGGCTGAGGGGAAGCAGGAATCGGGTTTAAGACAAAGCAAAGCTTCTGTTCTCTGTGTGGCAGGGAACTGCTGAAAGGTTGTGACTCCAGGAGTTACACATTATATTTGCATTTTAGAACAATCAGATTGGAAGATTACAAGATAGGAGGTTAGGTTGGAGACACTGGGTAATTTCATTGTTATTGGGATTATATAAGTTGGAATGCTGTAAATTGGAATCCCTCCAGAGATCAGTTGGCATGTGGCAAAGGCCTGAAAACCATGGTCCTCACTGGATTTGGAAATTCTTTCAAAAGGATAATAAGATGAGCATGCAGATATTTATGGTTAAGTTTATTGCCATTTTCTTTATACTGTCAAAAATTAGAAAGAATCCAAAAGAATAGAGGTGGCTAGTTAAATATGTTATGACATATCTATATAGTGAAATACTATGAAAATGTACATGTGTATATTTAGACATCAAAAGACATCCATAATATAATAGTATGTGAACAAAGAAGTTACAAATCAGTGAACAGCATATTGATATATTTGTAAGGAGTAACAAAAACTATGATTTTTTTTGAATGCTTGCCAGAGGTCAGGTATGGTGCTAAACATTTGCAAACATTACCTCTTTTAATATTCATGATAATCTAGGTGTCTAATTATATTATTGTCTAATTTTTTTCAGATGAGAAAAGTGGGAATTAGCAATCTTAAAGTTATCTAGATAGGGAGTGGTGGACCCAGAATTTGAACAAAATCAACATGACTTTAACTTCATGGACTCTTTCCTATTATCTTCTATTTCCCCATAGATCATAAGAAAACTCTAAAGAATAGATACCAAAACCCTGGGTCTATGGGTGGTAATACAATGAACATGGATTACTGCTGTGATAAAATATGTTATATCACACACACACACACATACACACAAGTCCTGGACCAGAGGCATGGCCCAGTTGGGAAAGGAAAAAGGTTTAGAATACGTGAACCAGTAGGACACACAGGATGTGGACACTGATTGGATGTGAGGAGGGGAAGGAGGAGGAATCTAGAATGACTTGACCTGGGTGACTTCATCATCAAAGTAAATCATCAAGCAAAAGGAACAGACTTGAAATAAAGAGTTGGTTTTTGACATTTGGGTTGACATGCCTGTGTGAGTGTTGGCTCCTTGGGCTTGAGGCTCAAGGAGCATCCAGGGTTGGAGGTTCACCTTTGGGATTAGCGTGGAGATCGTAGTTGAAGGTGGAGAGTGTAAGAAATAAAAAGGCAAAGACAGGTCTTTGGGGGTTACCAATACTTAAGCAGTGGGCCATCGGAGAGTCTGAGAAACAAGAGGAAGCAAGAAAAAGTTGAAGCATGTGTAGTGTCTCTGAAGCCCTGGCAGGAAGAGGCAAGTAAGTAAGAGTTTAGTTACTAGTACCAAATGTCTAAGGTTGACATTAGATAAAGGTTTTTGAAGTTCAGTTATGACCTGCTCCAAAGCATGGTTAGTAGTTGTTCGTGGAAGAAGCCAGATTGCCAGGAATGGGAGGGTGAAAAACAGAGTTTATACATTATGAAAATTCATCAAGGTAATATTTTTTAAAACACTCTGTGAGCTATTAGAGTTAACTATATATAATCAAAAATTCATATTATTAAGACATGCTTGACTAGGTAAATTAATAGTGTGAGCCAGGTTGCAAGACATACTTAATTTACCTAATAAGACAAATTTTTTAATGGCTACAGCATGCTAATTGTTTGGTCCAAATGTGGATATTTTTAAATACTAATAAGTCTTTTCTATCAATTAGAGTAGGATGAAACAATTGGGGGAAAAAATAACAAAAATTTAGATCATTAAAATGACTATTTTGGGGAGCTTTTAACTTATTAGAATGTCTCTCTCACAC